CATCTTCCTGAACCACATCACCACGTGGCCGCCCCGTCACCTGAAGTCCTACCTGCACCCTCGAAGCTTTCTACCAGAACACCATCACCGCCGAACCGCAAACAGAAAGCCAAAGCAGTTCCCAAAGCGCCTGCAAAACGTCGTCGCCGACTTGACAAATCCCGATCCCGCTCCTCGAGCCCATTGTCAATCTGGACTTCTGAAGACAAACAGAAACTTCGCACTTTGAAGGCGGACGAGAAGTCTCGATTTTCATGGCGGGTGATCTCGACCAAGATGGGCAAATCGGAGGAAGATGTTCGCTCTATGTGGAATAAGATCAAAGACAAACTTGGCTGACCAACGGCACGCGCGAACCAAAGAAAAAGCTGTCTTGCGGCACCATATTACAGTTTCACCACCCGAACTTGTGGGTTCCCTTTCTTCTTCTTTACACCGTTTATTGCTTTATTTCGACCTTACACTTTTTGACCTTCATAAACTTGGGCATTGTTGCTCCACTGAAACCTTGCACTTTCACATCATACACCCCGCCAGCCATTTACTATGTCTCTCCGCATTCACCTGGATCGATATTGCCAACTGCGAGCTATGTCCCACGACAGGATCTCTCCTACACGACGATCACGCTCTCCAACAAGGGCACCGTCCTCCGCCATGGGGTCTTCTTCCTTTCAACACCCATCCAATCGGACTCCGCCTTCGACACCCCATCGACCGGTTATTTTCCAATTGGACCTGAAGCCTATGCAGCAACTTGCCGTCCGCAACCCATACTACAACATCCTGGCCCCCAAGGTCGCGGGCAACCTCTCCACTGCCGTCTATGACAGCTTGTTCCAGACGTTCAAGGTGATCTACCCGGATTACGCTCGCAGTCACTTCGTTTCAGACCTCAAAACAGTGGTTACCGACACGCTTTTACAACGATGGTCGATACACCTACCACCGACAGATTTCTACATGATGATTGACACCGATCAAGGAGCTCAGATGCTTGACGACCTCCCTCATTCTCTCCTGGACGTTTTGAACTGGTTCTACCCGACATGGAAAACTCATCAACATCTCGATGCCTTCACGACCCGTGAGTGTTCACCTTTGTTGCTGACACCCCATCCAGATCCACAAGACACAGGTTTCGCTGTCCATGTTCAAGTGATTCCCCGCGGGCATCCATTCGTCACGGCCACCCGATACACTAAGACTGCCGCGTGATCAGCCCTGAGATAGAATTTTTGATTCGCTCACGTCTATGCGGAAAAGAAAAATGCACTCATTGTACATTCCTCCGCCTTGATATTCGATTTTTTGCCTCCCTCGTTTCTCTTGTTTCTCTTTTTTGCTTCTCGTGCTTAGATGTTTCATTATGGACTTCTTTCAACGGAATTTCGGCTTCAGTTCAGTTCTTTTCGATATCATATTACTGCTTCTGTACATGATGACCTCTGCCACGGATGATGCTGCTCGGCTGGTTTCAACCCGCTCTTCACCTACATCCGTACATGGCCCAGACCCACATCTCCCACCTGAAGATCCTACTTCGGCATCGTATATTCCCAGGGCAGCTAGAATGATTCCAACCTCTACAACTGTTCATTCCGTATTCTTCAAGAAGCTGAGCTATCCCTTGTCTTCTCGTCCCGATGAACTTTGGATCGTGGAAAGGACACTTGATGGTATTGAAACGTGGAGGCCAGTGGAAACATTTTTGGAGAACATGCACCTCACCAACGATCGTGCCACTCTACGCACTACGGCCAACCATTGGCGCCGATACTATGATGTACCCATCCAATCATCCTCCTCCCCTACGGCAATTTCTGTTCCTGTTCTCCCACATCCTGAACATGCCAATGTCTACGTCTCTCAACCGTACGAAGCGATACCAGACCAGCTTCATATTTTACAATCATGCTGGGGACGTTCTGCCCAACACCACTCTCAAGGTACCACCACTTCTTTATATTGGCCACCATGGCGATCTACACCACCTTCTTCACCATCGGCAACATTGCACCGGACCTTACATCTCAATCGCCCTACCGTCCCTCCTCAACATGTACATTGTCCAGTGGATGCGAACGACCCTGGCCCGATGGATATGTCTGACTCCAGTGTGTAATACACCACATCATTTGGCGGCATAGAAAAAGAACCGTGACTACACGCCGACTCGTGACTACTCACTAGGTACACCGTCTTCCTCCATATTTGGATTTTGGGCTTCACTCTTTGATCATTATCATATTTTTATGTTGCAGCCTGGGCTTTCCGCTTTATGCTTGACAATCGACGCCATGGCTCATTCTTCTCGCCCTCATCCATATCGCGCTACATCCACGATTGATACACCACAAGGTCCCCGAACTGTTGGATGGTTTGCCGGACACCGAGGCCTTCCTGGTCACGTGAACCCTCCTCCAAACCGACCTGTTCTGATCTTGATTGACTACACTCCTTTACAGGAATTGACTCACCGCAGCGAACCTGACCGTGAACACTACATGGCTATGGCCAGTTCAAATCTCAAGAATGTCAGTGGCTACGAACTTGAAGCTCTGTTTACCTGGTCACGCCAGATGGAACCAATTGAAGCCGGCATCCTTCCTACTGGAGAACTACGTTTCTGCATCTCAAAAAGACTGAGGACCCAATGGAACATCCAACTTGACCCTTCGAATTTGGAGTTTCGCTATTGCGATCTGGAAGGTGATACATTCCAAGTCCCCAATGATATGACGATCATGCAGCTTTTGGAAGAATACCGGCCCGAATGGCGACTCCGACAGTACAACTACATCGAATCCTCTTTGCTCATCCCAGGTACCTCACAGCCTTTCGTGCTACGTTTGAGATGCCATAAAGTTAGCCCCGGAGTTATCCTACCCTGATGTGCTCACTGGCCAAAAAGAGAATGCTCGACTGTTCTTTTCGTTGCACCTATGACACTTCATTAACACGGAGGATTCTTTGGATTCCACCTTTCGATTTATTCTCACCTTTTTAGGCTTCGGGCTTTGTCCTTTCCATGGACCTTGAACAATTTGATTGCTGATTGGACATCACTATTATTATTATTATTCTTCTATGGCTTGGCTTAATTTTGCATTTTCCTGATTCCTCAGCCTTTGGTCGTACCATTTCACGCATTTTCTGACCGTTTCACCCATGGAGCATAAACGAGACGCTACCGTGGCGGGCTTGGCTTGGCCTTCGAATCCCAACCGCGGACTCGCTCCCACCAATCCAGACCAAGCGCCAGACGGCCAGGCTTCTGAACTATGTCATTCTATCACCCCTGACCCTACCACCGGGACCACTTCGGCACCTTCGGCAGCTGACACTACAACTACCGACATCGGAACTTCGCCCCACGCCGATACATACTCAGGCTCTGCACCTCCTGATGTTCCTTTTCCGACTGAGCCAAGTCCTACATACCACTACCTCCATTGTGGTCACTTCTCCTCCCGCGTGGTCCACCAGATCCACTTCAAGATCATTACCCACTCCAACAATACCAGGGAGTTATTCATCGAAGAGATCCCCATGTCAGGGCTCTCCAAATGTCGTGACCCCGAGCACTACTTTTATGGTCTTTCGGGCAACTGGGAGTGGTCCCTGCGCACAGCGGATTATTGGCGCCATCACTTTGAGATTCCTCTAGTACATGGGCATCATCCTTTTCACAACGTTCCCATTGAGACCACTGCACCTACAGAGGCAACCTGCTTCACTCCGAAGATCCAAGAACTGGCCAAACAACTTTCAACCACTTTGACGGCTGCTATGGCATCTGGGGAAATCAACGACACGTGGAGGATGGTTGAAGGCATGAGCTTCCGTGACGCGATCCAAACACTTCAAGTTGAGGCGACTTTCCCTTCTGAGTGACTGAACGCGGCTATGTACATTAGCACCGGACAGCCTTTTTGTATTTGATTGATCTTGCCGACCTTTGCAGCGATGTTCTTCCAAAAGAATCAAACCCCGCTACACGCGGGGTGTGTGTGTGTGTAACATCTGAACAGATGTAAAACTTCTATTGCTCTAATCTTTTCACATTTGCAGGGGGATGGAGAGGACATATGAGGCTCCATCCAACGAAGCTCTTGATATGATCCTAGGATATCACCAGGGACGCCTGGTGACGTACCTGCAGTTCGAATTTTTTCGGAATAGCAAGGGGCCAAGCTCAGAACCCCAACCACCATGTTACACAATTTGCTGCACTGTTGTCGCAATCTGGAATCAATTTTGGTCAATTATGATTGCTGCATCAGAACCTTCCTCCGAATTTCGCCGAAACCTCGTCGCCGATTGTAATTTTGATTTTCTGGATTATTTCGCCGAAACCATGTCGCCGATGTTTTTGGATTATTTTGTCACAACCACGTCGCCGATTCATTTATTTATTTTTGATGACGATCTTGGCCATGAAAACCATTCAGGAGAACTTCCATTATTCGTAGGGTGCATCGTTAATTTCGTTGTTTCATATCTAATCTGCATGTTTCAGGATTCAGTTCCTGCCGGATCATATAATGATCCATTCTTGTCTAGTGTGTGGGGTGGGGCAACAACGTTCCATTGTACTTACCTGCAGCATGCTATGCCATTGAAAGTTTTCTTGTACTTGACACAGAAACGTCATGCTACGCTAGTGGGTGTTCTCTTGAACTTGACACAGAGTTGTCATGCTACCCTAGTGGATGCCCAAGAAGCAGAGATAGAATTCTTTCAAGTGAAGCATGCTCCCTGGAATTTTCACGGAATGTTAGAAGACACAATGGTCAGACCCTGAAAGCAGGGACTCAGATGTTGGACAAATGCTTGCTTGGATCACTGCAAAGAATTTATATGTCTCTTGAGGGGAGGCGCAAGTGTAATTGGATTTACCAGTGGCAGTGGCGCTACAACAGTCGCCACAACCTCTGGCAAATAATGCCATATAATTATTGTGGGTGCCGCGCGGTTGCGGGACAAGTCGGGGGCAGACGCGACTACGCGAAGACGCGAACACAAGTCGCAACGTCGCAGCGTCAGACGCGACTACGCGAAGACGCCGCCCAAACTCGCAACGGCGCAGCCTCGATCAGCGTCGCAGCGTCGCAGCGTCAGACGCGACAGAGGCAGACGCGACTACGCGAAGACGCGAACACAAGTCGCAACGTCGCAGCATCAGACGCGACTACGCGAAGACGCCGCCCAAACTCGCATGGTCGCAGTGTCACAGCATCGCAGCGTCAGACGCGACAACGCGAAGAAGGAGCCGAAACTCGCAACGTCGCAGCGTCGCAGCGCCAAGCCAAACGGCAACCGGTCCTGCACCCACACTGCATATAATGCCTGATGTCATGCGCCGCATCAGTAGAAACTAACGACTTGAACTGCTGCAGGCCCAAAAAACACGAGGCCAGCAACGCCGGCATTACCTTGTTTATATCATGTTTCTTCTTCAATGTGTTTTTTTGTTAAGAAACACATTTGACTTGTTTTCTGAGATGATCGGTGAATGTTCATCATCTGGCTGGTTTCACCTACCATCCCGTTTCATCCGCAGGCATGCTGGCGGTGTACTTTGCCGGGCAATCTAGCGCCTTGGCACCAAACCTGCAGGTTTGTCGCCACTGAGCAACCAAAAAATATGGGAAACCACAGTTTTCCTAGGAAAGTCTCAAGAAGATTCAAGAAAACGTTCCATATCTATTCATATTTCTGTTTATGTGCTGTAGGGTATGTAGATGGGTATGGGTCAATTTTTTTGGTAGTTATCATCCTCATAAAATGATCAAATGCTACTTAGTATGGCTAAATATGTTTATACATTGATGTTTATTGATGCCAAAGATGGTCAGTTCACATGTGGAGCATATGGGCTGAATTTTTGACCCACTTATGCCCAGATGCTTTTCACTGGCTGGTGATTTGCAAAGTGTAAGATTTCCGACTCAATGATGAAGTCCAAAATCAACTGAAGCAAGTCCTCCTCAATCTGCGGGTTCCTTGCAGTTCTGCTGTAAACTCCTATGTTTCATGGTAATTGCCAGTGACTTTCTCATAACCACACGACGAGTTGCAGAGGCTTCGCTCTGTACATGAAGCTGGTCCTGTCAGAGGAAACCATCTCCAGACCTTTGGCAGAATCGGCCGCGGCTTTACACATCTTTACACCCCAAATACCAGGCTGGTAAAACGCACAATATATGGAGAAGCAGAAATTGCCGTAATTTCAGCCCCTTGTGGCATTGATTTACCAGTTTATCGTTCTGAATGTCAGTTCTTTGTCATGTCACTGGGTGAATGTTTCGTAGCCACCCTCAGACCACCAAGGAGAGCTGAATTTGAGGGGAATGCCTGCTGCTTTTCTGGTCACAGCCATCCAACAAGTCGTGGCTTTCTGTGCTTTGGGACTGGGGTGCCTCGCACGCGATGACACCATGGGAAGCTGACAGGAGAAAGTGTTGACAGCTAAGGGTGGATTGCTTTCGCCGGAAAATCAATGTTCAAAAATCCAGTGGAATTGTGCCATATGTTTTTCCTTGGGGCAGTCAGGGGAAGTTGTTTGATCATTGCAGGTGGCATTCTTCGATGGTCATTGTGCCAAAGAAATCCCAATTGGGAGTGTAGAGTGTACGTAGATACTTGAAGGAGGTCGTTTGGATTCATACCCTCTGGTAAACTAACGTAACTATGGAAAATCACAATTTTTAATGGGAAAATCCACTATAAATCACCATTTTCAATAGCTATGTTAGTTTACCAGAGGGTACCTCTTCCCATTGGCTCATCATTGATTCATTCTAGCCTTAATTTGCAGTCCAAATGGTTGCCATTGGCTGCTGATGAACGCACACGTCCCAGTCGCAGTGACTGCTACCTTGTTTTCGGGTTTAGTTTCCCCTACGATCCCCTATTTATGTATTAGCATTTTAACTAAATAGATATAGGGAGAGAGAGAGAGATATATATATATAGATAATACATGTTCTTCGCATCTAGTTAAATATAAACAGTCAGAAGAAAACTGAATTGATAGGTGTTTTTTTCAGTGTAACATGTTGTAACATGATCCCACTTCCCACCCTTTTCACAAAATCCCAAGGATGTTGGTGTTGCATTTTTCACCTCATCCCTATGTGCCTCGAAAACTGACGACTCTCAACGAAGTCCTGGCGGTGCTGTTCTTTGCTTTGGCCGCACCTTGCGCAAGCGCAGGATGGGGAGACACCCTCCAAAGGTTAAAAAAAAAATGTGGAAAACGCAGCATGTGTAGAAAACATAGGGGTTTTCCAACATCTATATATGTTGCTTTCCGCCAGGGTCGTATATATAATCACATATAACGATACATTATTATGATATTATGTATATGGGTGTGTTTGAACATGGGGAAAACAACCAAGATTGCAATTTATATAGGGGAAAACAACATGTTCAACCAGTGGATTTGGACGCACTCTATTCATTTCAGACAAACTCATATCAAAACCGTATATATATATACACATCAACCAAAAACAATATAAGGAACAACTTGCAAGCATTGATATATTACATTATGTTACCCAGCAATGATGACAGTTCATAGTGGACAGTATCAGCTGGAAGCCCGATTTTTTCGGTGCTGCGGATCCCACTAACATTTTTTCAGTAGCTGGTGTCAACCACGAGTCACCATGACATCAAGATCAAGACAGGGATTCCAAAGAAACCACCTGAAAACGGCCTTCATCATATCATCATATCGCATCATGGTGTGATAGATGCTGCGGACATGCCGATTTACAAATGCTGATGGTACAGACGTATTTGCACATTTTAAGTCGTGTGGACACCGCTACATCCCATGGGATGCAATGCCTGAACAAGGTGGCAGTGAACATTGGCCTCAACAACTTCAGTATGTCACTGTTGCCTGTCTCTCTGAATCTTGGTGTTCGGATCGATTTTTTGGACTAAAAAAAAGGAGATGTCAGCAGCGGTTGGAACAACAGACCAGCTTTTTTTCCTCCCATCAAATTGTGCTTGCCCGCTGCCATGTTGGTTCCAACGAAACCATGCTACATCATGTTCCCATATTTTCCCAGCAATTTCTGGCCAAGTGGACCATGAAAGTTCTAAAATTACTCGACTGCTGAGGAATATGGTGATTCGCTCCTGCATTCCATTGGCCTGCCTCCATTTGCATAGTCAACATTTCTTGCTTTTATGGTTTGGAAATATCTTTGCATCCTCTACTTGGGACGATGATTAATATTTTAACATATTTTAACTATGGATAACTCTGGCAAATAATGTCAACCCCAATACACCATCCGGGGCCCAGGGGGTACCGTTGAAGTATCAGATGATCAATGATGATCATCTGTGGGGGTACCCCCCTAATCAGTAAACCATGGGTGACTAATCCGGGGTTGACATTAATTGCCTATTTCATGGGATTCTCCTGGTCATTGTGTAGCTCATCAGGCCTCAATGCTGCAGGATGAAACAATGAAACTCCTCCAAAAATTCCTCCGACCATGCTGAAGAACGGGACTTAAAACAGAAATCAGGGCGGTTTCTCCAAACTTGGACCCCCCGTTTCCTCCCCATGGATTTTTCGTGATTTTTCGGGGATCCCATGGGGAAGGAAGGTCCAACAACCTTCCCCATCTTCCCCATCTTCCCTGCTACTCGACCAAGGTGACACTGCTTCTGCAGCAACTGGCGCGAGGCTTACAACTTTTGGACACCACCCCAGCCACCTGTTGGGACGTGCCTTGGAGTGCTGGGCGGAGGAGATACCCTGCAGCCACATAGCTATGGAAAATCACCGGGGAGAGTAGCTCATCTATAAATGGGCTATGTTTGTTTATTTTCCATAGCTATTTTAGTTGACCACAGGGAAACCATGATTAAATGATATTAAATGGGTATGTCTTTAGGAAATGATGGATATGAATGGCATATGAAGTGGATAAACCTGCTGGCTGGGTACTTGAATGCAACTTAATAACACTTGTGTTTTGGATTGTTTTGGCTAATTCGGTGGTATGAAGTGACGGGCTGCAACTTCATCTTGTCGCAAGGTATTTTTGATCAATCATATTAAGATATATTTATATAGTAATGATGATCTATCATCCTATGAGGAATTCTGAATACCAGAGTTGAAGATGTTATTCCTCTTATAATACGAATAATTACCACAGTTGAAGACTTTCTTTCAGTTTTCCCTGGAGCGGATTCTGGAACTTAGAAAACGGCGCAACCGTTTTCTCATGAAGGTAGGATCTGAGTCTTGAACGGGTCGCTATTAACCTGGTTGGTGGTTGGGAACATGGCTTTTATTTTCCATTTCATATATGGGATGTAATCCTTCCCATTGACAAACTCCATCATTTTTCAAGATGGGCACGTTGCACCACCAAGCAGTAACCGAAGCTGATTGTGCCAGCTCAATGATCCTTCCAATCCATGCGAACTGGGATGATTTGGTCACATTCCAAATCCGGTACCGCCTTGCTTTGACGGTGAAACTATGTCAACTCCTGCGCTTTGATGACTAAGTCCTAATTCTTGATGCTTAAGCCCCCAATGTTTGATGGTTAAAACTGGTTCAATCCCAACGTTTGATGCTAAAATCCCAATCTTTGAGACAAAAAATCTCAATGTTTGATGCTTTTTTTTTCGATGCAAAAAAAAAACAATGCTTGATACCCTCTGGTAAACTAACATAGCTATGGACAATCACCATTTTTAATGGGAAAATCACCATTTTTAATGGGAAAATCCACTATAAATGCCCACATTTTTCATGACTTAAATCCAGCCGGTGAGGCCTTAGTGATGTCAGTGGGCGTGGCCGGCGCCGCCATCACGGCACTGGCGGAGAGTGAAACGAAGAATGAGGAAACGCAGCAGGGCCATTTGGGGATTGGCCGCTTGACATGGAATGACATGGAGGCTGTGTATCATCGATATATTGGATATGATATACAGTATACATATATATATGTATTACTGTATATATTAATGTGATATATAATGGGAATATAATATAGAATGATATCATATAATGTTTTTTTAACTGTTTTTGATATTAATATTAAGATATCATGGCATGTGTTGTTCTATGTGGATATACGTGTCAGATACTGATAGATATTGATGTTGGGCTTGGACATAGGGTATAGTAACAAATGGGAAGACATTGTTCGATATGGGACAGGTAGTTTAATCCTTTGGTGAATAAATGGAGAATCACCATAACAGGCAATAGCTTGTGTTTTGTGGACTACCAAAGATATTTTTGTAATGGATGGTATATCATATTTTGATATGGGAATATAATGGGTATGTTATGATATTGGATATTTTGTGATATCATTAACATTATACATCATATGGATATAAAACATGTATTTTATGATTTTGTTGATACATCGATTCTAATGTGAAAATAATGGGCATGTAATGGATTAAGAATGGAGGTGGGGGTTCATGATTGGGAATGATTGAGACTGGTGATGATGTGAGTTAATGATCAGAATCCATTTCTTAGATAACTGCGTAAAGGGCCATGTTTTTCTCATGAGACAGCGGGATTTTTGTCGCGGCCTAGAATCTCCACATCAATTTCACTGGAAACGGTGTTGGTTTTCCCCCATCAAATATAGGGGGTTTCATGATGTTTCATGTAATTTATCCCTCAGAACTATAACCTGGTTGGTGGTTTGGAACATTTTTTATTTTTCCATATACTGTATTGGGAATGTCATCACCCCAACTGACGAACTCCATGATTTTTCAGAGGGGTAGGTCAACCACCAACCAGTAACCCATTGATGATTACAATGGGATTGGGGTTTCATGACAGGCAAACTGCATTTTGTTGAGCCTTTTTCAGGGATAGTCCACCTTGAAATCGCCGGCAATTTCTCATGGTGAGACCGAAATTCATGATGCTGGGGATTCACGATAGATCCATGGATAATGTTATTATATAGGAATAGATATGTAAATATGCAGGTACATATATAATTGTTATATAATAATATATGTGTGTGTGTGCAACGTGGATAAAATGGTTATGATGTTATATTTTCCAAAGATGGGATTAGTTGTGATAATGACAGATGGGAAGATCAAACGTGTGGAGATGATTGTGGACTCTTTATGAGCATCCAATTGGCGTCACTTGGTTTCAGTCAGTTTGATGACATGGAGGTATCAATCTCCACCCAATGTGGGTAAAACTGGCTGCCATGTTTACCACCCATGACTTCCTGGGAATGGCAAGACCATATACCACCTATTTATGATGTTGATTTGGGGGATTGCTTATTATTCGTTTACCCAGAATAATAATATCTAAAATATGGTAATAGATGATGATGGATATATATATATATTTATTGATGGTAGATGGTAAGTTTATACCACTATAGTTTCTATCTATTCATCTATCCACCTATCAATAATCTGTGCCAAAAAACAATCCCATCAACCAAGCATGGGGTTTACCACATCGATCCCATCTACCATCATCTACCGGGTCTATCAAGAAATCTTGTGGCGCAGATGGTGCCAGGTGTGCTGATGTGTTGTTTGGGCGACATTGCTGCAGCCACCACTCTGGTCTTGGCAGCTGCCTTCAGCTCCACATTGAAGCCGCCATTGTCACCCCTTGATACGCCGCTTGCATCGGTGGAGGATCATCCCCAGCTTCGAAAGTGGGTGACGATGAAAATGGGTCCGAAATTTTGGGACGCACAAAAGAATCCAAAAAGTATCCAAAAGTAAGAATTTGAATGGAAAAATGGATGCTTAACAAGTGGATCTATCTGGAGAAAGAAAAAGCAAAAAGTATATAACGACCTCACTGCGACGTCACTGGAATGATGATTAGAGGAGGGTGTAACTATCTCAAAATAGCCTTATTTCAGGTTAGCGAACTACTATTATAATGTATATAATTTATCCAGATTTATGTGTTTTCCATGTTTTTCCCCGAGATTTTCTCATATGTTCCAGACATACGCTTTTTTTTTGGACGGTTCGAAATGTTGAACCCTCAGGTGCCATGTGGGAAAACGCGAAAAGGTAACATAAAACTGAACATGGAACCTCTAGGTTGGTGAGTTTGATGAGTTTCTACTGGAGAATGATGGAGTGAGATCCCAAGCCCCCAGCACTGGTGAAAGCAATCAGAAAGGTTTGATCAACACTGATCCAATTTTTTGGTTTTGTACTCTCTGGTTATGTCAAAATAGCTATTGAAAATGGACCATTTAGTTATAGTGGATTTACCCATTGAGAATGGTGATTTTCCGTAGTTTTTTGTATGTTTACCAGAGGGTACATGTTTGCACGCCATGTACGGCCACTGAGGGTCTTCTACACAGCTTTACCCTGCGCTCTGGCACTCCTTCCTGCGTCCCTGAGCCGTGTTGATCATTTTTTGCGCATGCAGTAAACCATAGTAAACCCAGTATAATTCAATGCCATCCAATGCCATGAACCTAAAACATTGCAGGGTTTATACATGTTTATACTAGTTGATACCGCAAGACGGCCCATTTCTGGTGATATTGGGATATATTGGGGATGGTTTCTGTTTCGGTTTAGCAGACCCCTGACTGGACCGCCCGAGAAATATCTAAAACTAGTGGATAAATTCTAGGGAATTCAGGTCCCTTGAGTGATCTGAGTTTGTTTCGCCTGGGTATGGACTTCAAACAAACTCAGACCAAGAAGATCATGACATCAAGATCAGAACTTGCCTGGTTGGTGGTTTGGAACATTTTATATTTTTTCCATATATTGGGGATAATAATCCCGTTTGATTTTCATATTCAGAGGGGTAGGTCAACCACCAACCAGTTGCATCCCCAATCCTCCCCAGCTTCAGGTGAAACATGTTGAGACCGAGAGCACCACCTTATATTTAAGCCCTCCGACTTTTAAAAAGATTGTTAATTAGGGATGTAACAAATCAATATACCCTCTGGTTATGTCAAAATAGCTATTGAAAATGAACATTTATAGTGGATTATAGTGGAATTACCTATTGAAAATGGTGATTTTCCCATTAAAAATGGTGATTTTCCCATTAAAAATGGTGATTTTCCATAGTTTTTTGTATGTTTACCAGAGGTTAACCCCATGGTCGTCACAAACATCCCAGGTCTTTGTACGCCTCGCATCCCATCAACTGGCCCAATGCTGGGACATTGACGGACTGGGAGGCCGATGATTTACCCATTTTTTCACATTACCCGGCCTGGTAAACATAAAAAACGATGGAAAATCACCATGTTTAATGGGAAAATCACCATGTTTAATGGGAAAATCACAATTTTTAATGGGAAAATCACCATTTTTAATGGGAAAATCACCATTTTTAATGGGAAAGATCCACCATGTTTAATGGGAAAGATCCACCATGTTTAATGGGAAAGATCCACCATGTTTAATGGGAAAATCACCATTTTTAATGGGAAAATCACCATTTTTAATGGGAAAATCACCATTTTTAATGGGAAAATCACCATGTTTAATGGGAAAGATCCATCATGTTTAATGGGAAAAGCCACTATTTCGACTGGGCCATTTTCAATAGCAAACTGTTGACATAATCAGAGGGTAAAATGCTTGGGTTTATGGATGTCCATCGCCCAATATATGGGATTTATTGGGATTTCATAGGTTTTGACCCAAAAAACTAGCGCGCCATGAAAATGGTGATGTTGAAGAACTCTTGGGCTTAGCAATTTGTGACTTATCCCCGTATGATGACTCATGTACCTTCGTAGCACATGCACGTGCTTCACATGTGCATATTTTTGTTTGTTTGATAGTCATGAGGAAATCATAGGCATTACTATATGGTATAATTGTAATACCCTCCGGTAATTTAACATAGCTATGGAAAATCACCATGCTATCAATGGGAAAATCCACTATAAATGGCCATTTTCAATAGCTATGTTAGTTTACCAGAGGGTATGTTCAACAGGCGTGCAGTTTTTTTGTTAACACGTGTGAGAGTCGACAGATGTATCATTCCATGATGTCACGTTCGTTGCGAATCCCCACCTTTTTTCTGTTGCACCTGCCATATGTGTTGATGGCGATGGCCACCCCGTGCCATCCATTGCTGCGATCATTTCTGTTTACCCTCCACCAACATAGCCATATGCTCTATGTATGGTATATTTACCTACAAAACTGGGTGAATTTGAAGGCAAATGTTGGTAAATATTCCATGCATGGAGCATATGGTATATCTATGGCATGGCACTTTCATGGATGATGTTCCAATTCAAAACGGTGATCTTCGATAGTCATTGTAGTTTGCCAAAGGGCGAAACTGCTCATGGCATAGCGGGAAACTGTCCAAGTCCAATCTGCCCAATCTGTCCAATCTGTCGGCCAGGTGTATCAACGAGTTCATCAGTTGAATCCAGGGACCATTCTCTTGGTGATTTTCTCGGGCGTGGTCTCAGCAGGATATAACTTCATTCAGTACACCGTGGTGCAGACTTTGTCGGTGACGTGGGACCCGTGGGACCCGTGGGACCGTGGGACCGTGGGATTTGGTTGAAACAACGGGGCGGAGAAAATGGGCCATGACATGCCATGACCACGAGGGATGATCCCAGCAAGAAAAACGGGAAGTTGATCATGCAAAATTTGGAGTTTTTTTGATGAACCTACTATAACTGGTTTTCTGCTTCGAAACCATCATTTGCGGGATACCTCATTTTACCAAGCAGTTTTTGTTGGGATGGAGGGATGGAGATGTTAACGTATCGCTTGAAATCAGGAGAAACCTTGGGAAAACGATGGAAATCCGGGAAAATGATAACGGCCTCATCCGTAAAGGGCGTAGAGTCTTAGAGATCCCGCTGTATCCGCAGTCTTGTTCGGGGGGTGCGGCTAGGCATCAATAGACATCCCCAACGCAGGATAGGTAGTTAAGTCCTTTAGTTTTTTGCTATAAATGAAAAATAACCATAACCGGCCAAGGATTATATTAGTTTTCTATATGTTTTTCTGGGCTAATAACGAAAGATTGACCATGTCGACACTTAGCTGAACATCAGTACTAAACATGGTTGCCAGGGCCCTGGGTGAACGAAACTCAGGCGAGCCATGCGGCCTTTGCGGGCAACTTCAACAAAGCCGCCACCATTTCCTTGTCCTTTGGACTGCATGGAGGCTCCCTATCCCTGTGATAGTTCATCTGAATGAAGAAGTACCAAGTCTTTGATTTTTGTTCTTGCATCACTTAGAGATTTATGTACCCTCTGGTAAACATACAAAAAACATCAGAAAATCACCATGTTCAAGTTCGCAAACTGTTAGTTTACCAGAGGGTTTTTTTGTTTGTTGGATCTGATTTGCGAAGAAAATATCCGCGCCAAGGTCAATCTTTTTGGGACTGGAACTCCTACCAGGAGGCCAATGGAGCTATGTGATGGTCCTGGGAATCTGTGGCACTTCGACTGCAGGAGATTCTCCCATGGATCGGAACTACTCTCTGGTTATTCCACATAGACTATGGAACATTTCCCATGTATCTGGGTAAATTATAACGACCTCACTACGACCGAGCCCTGGAATCATGGTTAGATTGTGGGGAATCATCCCCAAATGGCCGCAAGATTCAGGTTAGTGAAATATTATAAGTTACCCAGATGTATGGATGATTTTTGATGATTTGCCTATTAACAAATGAATATTGTCCATAGCGACGTTATATAAATCAGAGGGTACATGGATGTATTCTGATTTGTTTCTATGGTTAGCATGAGTCGCCTCAAAGTCTGAGAACGCAGAAATCCTCACAACCGATAGGGGACGACCCCAATTTGTGCAGTTTTGAAAATAAACAAGTAATTTTGTCCGCCATTCATGTATACATATATATTATTCATTTATTTATTTATTTACGTATTCATTATTTATTTACTTTAATTATATTCAACCCCTTATGTGGAAATTAGCAGGATTCCCATCTTGAGCATCTCCTTTCTCCGTGGATTTCAGGAAACATCGTGGCCTTTACCACCTGGAGCTACATGCAAGCCATTCGCGCGCCAAAGAACGTGGAGAATGGTGAACTCGCTGGATCTACCCGGCCGAACGGTCAACGTTTACAGAAAATGGGCCATAGAAATAGTGGATTTACCATGATTTACCCATTAATAGCATGGTGATGTTCCATGTTTTTTTGTATGTTTACCAGAGGGTATATATATATAATATACGTATAGTTATATGGGATGTTATGGCTGTTATATATGACAAAAATATGGGAGTTGTTTTTCCCACCCATGGTGATGTCCATCAATTTTTGGTGACCTTGCTTCCCGTAAGATTTCGAGCTTAACAATGCACAGAATGTGCACATGACCATTTGTCAAAAACAGTTGTTTAGAAGTTCAGTATTGGTTGCTGATACCCTCTGGTAATTTAACGTAGCTATGGAAAATCACCATTTTTAATGGGAAAATCCACTATAAATGGTCATTTTCAATAGCTATGTTAAATTACCAGAGGGTAGTTGCTGATAATTCATCTGGGTCTACTGTTTCCTCTCATGAGGCAGCACAGTCTTGTTCGCAGGACAATCTCGACGTACAGAAGTCGGTCACAGTTTTGGTATAGTTTTTGTGCACGAACTCTTTAAGTGGGGCGGCAAACCCAAGAACAAAAAAACATTTTGAAATAGCAACCCTCAACTAGATTGAAAAAAAGTGAGAAAAAAAGTACGAAAAAAGTAAGGTCCAACTAAACAAGTGGCAAATGCAGCCTTTTCGATCTTTTCCACTGGGGCTTGCTATACCTAAGTTTGCGGCCAGGATTTGGGGTTGTCCTGCGGCAATGATTCCTCCTTTGATCATTGATATATGGAATAATCATTATGGAAGAATGTTGTTCATTTTTTTACCTCAGAAAAAATAAGAAAATATTCCATATTTATCCATATTTATCCATATTTACCATTGAACAATATTGTTCATTAAAAATCAATCATGGTTCATATATTTACCTCTGACATTTCTTGATTCCTGCCTCGGCTTCATGGACCTCTTGACATCTCTTGACGCGGGGCACGGTGTTTTTTTCGGTTCAACGAACGGTTCCCTTTTTTATACCATTTGGAAGACGAGTAGCTCGACACTATTGTTCTGAATTGGGATTTTTGATGAATTTTGCTTCATGAAGAATTGAAGTACTGTAATGGTTCCCTTCTTCTACCTCCCTGGTTGGTTGGTCAATATGGCTGGTTGGTTGATGGGAATGGGCTCAGCCACTGCAGGTGATTTGCGCTGAATCCGCGATTAAAAAAATGGACGGCTGCGACGTGGATAATTCGTGGGCTAACGCCAAGCTGGGGGAAAGAGGAATAATTGTCCCAGTTTTTTTTCTGATTTTTTGGAATTTGTTGAAGGCCTACAGGTAGACCAACACTAATTCAGAAGGGACTCCAATCTATTTGTCGGGCTTTCACTAGTTCTTCCAAGCTGGATGTAGTCATTTTTTCACCATCATGGAGCCGATAGCAATCGCCACGACTGCAGCAGCCTTTTGCTTCATCCTACAGTGTGGGGCGCACTTTGTGTCATCATGGCATTTGAAAGGTGCGTTTCAGGTTTCAGGGGTCGTTGTCCTATTTCAGAGAAACCCATGTTCTCGGTGTTTGTTTGTGTTCATTTTCCTTTCTATCTATGGAAAGTGGGGTGATGGTAGCTATAGTGGTCCCACATGTGCTTTTTTCATCTTTTTTCCCCATACCAAAGAAGTGCTGATAGGATCCAGATCCAGTACCAACCGATGGAAAATGTCGGAGTTCAAGCATTGATCCGGTCTGACCTTCCGTTTGACATGTCTTTTCCGTAGATTTCTGCGGTTCCACCAACTACTTGGGGTGAACAAATCCACTGAAAATCGCCTTGTTTTGTGGGGTTAAGACTCTGGTAAACTAACACAGCTATTGAAAATGGCCAAAATGGTGATTTTCCATATAGTTATGTTAGTTTACCAGAGGGTAATAGAGGGTACCCAGTTACATATTATAGTTATATATGGGATCACCCCAGGAAGGGACCAACACGATCACCACTGCTAGGACCATCGATGATCCCTTCATCGATTTGGATCAGAAGGCGAGCAACGAGCCTCTGGGCAAATCTCAGCTGGTTGATCGACAAGAATCTCTTCGAATAGCTGATTAATAGCTGTGCAACCACTGGTAGCGTCCCTCAATTCTGAGTTGGTATATATATATATATTATAATCCCATATAATCCCCTTAAACTAGTTACGTTACATCCCCCTAATCACCCCCATTGATTGGACTTATAAAGCAACTTGGCGAACCAACTGGGGCCCCAACCTGTAGAAACTTGGTTGATGCGGCATTGGAATTTTCAGCAGGCGAAACACCGAGACAGGAGCCGTTGCTATTCTAAATGCGTTATGTACACACACAAATATGTGTATATATATATACATGTATATATATATGTGTGTATATATATATATATATGTATACATGTAATATATATGTAGATATATTTACACACATCACACACATCATGAAAAAACATACAGACATCCTCAAATAATAGACAGTACATATAATATATATATAATGTGTTTTACATTATATACATTCCTTTGACTCTCTCCCGCGAGGCGGCTTTGTTCACCTTGCTGCGCACGGCAGCAGAGGCGGAACTGGAGATCGAGGACGCGCGCTACAAGTTGTGTGCCTCGGCTGCTCCTCAAAGGTATGTTAGATAGATACACATGCAACATCAATAAATATATTATTTAATTATGCATAAATATATTCATAAATATATATTTTTTTGGCAAGTGGCACAAAGAATCTCTCAATGCGGCCTAGCTCACTAAATTCAAAGTCACCGTCCCCCAGCGAAGTCTGGGCCTGCACACGCCTGCATCTCCGAAATTATCATCTGATGGGCTTGCCTGCAGAATTCGTGGGACGGGACTAAATTGGCGTCAACAGGGTGTTCCTGCAGCGCAAAAATAAAGCCTCCAGCCAGTCCCCCGCAAAATGCGGGCGGGTACTCTTTGAGCACACTTGTTGCCCAAAAGCCTTCGCTGTTCTTTCCAATCGAGGCTGTTTTCGGAAAATCTCCTACTAATTGCCACTCACGCAGCTGGCGAAAAGCATTGGGCATGTTCAGCAGGAGGAGTCCCGTTGGCTTGCGGCTGGGAGCACCCCACAAGCCTTGCGACACTTCCAGGAAGGAGAATTCAGGCCAAGTTCGCAGGTATTCAATCACTGGTAAGCGCCACACGCTGGCGAGTTCAGGTTCGGCTGGTTCCGCCGGATGCTCCATGCCGCCGATGCCATCTTCCAAGGCCAGGTTGATGAGCAACTCCAGCGTGAAGAGCAGGAGCAAATTGCCAATGTCCAGCTGGAGGAGCTCCTTCAAAGCAAGGGAGGCCCTCCCCCACAAATCTGCAGCGTCCCTGATCACTCTAGGTCCTCTTCTGCAAGCGCGATCAGTGATCTGGTCAGGCGCTCGCCCTCGAGCTCTCGACCATGTCTCGCACGGAGGGCCGGCCATGGCACCAACCACATGTCTGTCTTTCACTGCACGTAGCCAGAACTCCCTCACCTCTGGCTTGGAGACGTCTCCCCACAAGGGGTCCACTACCACATCCACAGAAATGGTGTGAATCAGCATCTCAGGGTGGCGATCCTGCGCCTGCTCCACAAAGTACTGAAAGTCCCCGACCCTCCTACGGCCGGAGAACGCGTGGATGATGTACCTCTCCTTAGCCATGGGGCGGGGCACTGGCCAAAGGCGGCCACGCTCAGCAGTCGCTAAACCACCAGCCCTGCATTGCTCAGCATAGGCTGCCAGAAAGCTCCATGCTTTTATCTCCTTCAGGTTCTGCAGAATCTGCTTGATGTCAATCTCCCCAAGGTCGAGCATCGCAATGTCCTCCGTGGAGAGCTCCGCCAGCATGTAGTCCAAAGTTGCCCTGCAGGTTTGCCAGGAGATAGGACTAGCGGTGATCACGTCACGCACAGTCTGCTCAACCAGATCTCCATCATGGCAGTCCAAAAGGCACAAATAAATCTGTTCTGCTACCTCCAAATCATGTATTGGAATCTCTTCAAGCACGCCATCAGGTAGTTGAGGACCTTCACCTTGTAGAGGAGGCAAAATTCCGTCATGCTGCTGACAAAGTTGTTGGTCCGCTAAAGAACCGCAACCGCTAGTAGGCAGTAGATAACGTCTCCTTCCCCACAGCCTTCGTCTACAAATGTCTGTATGTTGTAGATGTGCCTGCAGCTTACTGAGCGTGTGATACTCTTTGAGACAGGAACCACAGGCGGTGGACTGGAACAAGAGCCTCACTTTCGCTGTGACTCCATGTCGCTTGAAGAGATGAGCGCCGAGTCCGCCTTTGCTGCCAAAGGTGCTGCCACACGCCATGCATGCAAAAGTCTCCTCGGTGCTGATCACGCGTTGAGCTCCGGCAAGTGGGGCAAAAATGTGTGGCTGTACCTGCTGGAAAGCTACACGAAAACGTTCATGGAAATGATTGACCCGATGAAGACGAGCTCGTTGGCGAATCGCATGTTCCCCCGCAAGACGAATCAGTCGCTTCCAGTAAGTGGGATGGTGGAGCCATAGATACTCCCATGCACCGAAGTGTTGTGACGGATCTTGCAAGCTGGATGCACCATGAAGCTCCTGCCACATCCAGGTCAAATCATCCTTGATCAATGCCGTCCATGCTGCGTCACTGTTGAGAAGGCCCCATGGTACAAGCTCTCGGCAACGATAGAGCGTGCCCAAGTATCGCAATCTCGCAATACGCAGGACTTCTGTCGGGCTATTCATGTTTGCTGCATTAAGCACATCATCGTCACGAGCATGAACATCAGGGCCCCATTTCAGCATGCGTCGGTATAGGCGTAGCAAAGCATTGTGGACAAATTCCTTGGTCCGGACATCTTCCAAAGTCCAAGACTCTGTACCATACCCAAATCGGCTCAGCACCAGGGTCTTGAACATCTCGGTGCGGCGATGGCATGAGAGATGAGGATTTTGAAGAAGATATCGGCGATGCTGTGAAAAGGCTTGCTGGGCTATTCCAATTCTCCTGCGAGCCTCTCTCCGGTTGTCGGAGCGATGTTGGATGATGCAGCCCAAGTGGGAATACTGGCTGACAACACGGATCTTCTTGGTGTCCATCTCCCCAACCACAACGATGCACTTTTCTGCTGACGGACCAAAGTATTTGATCTTCATCTGCTTGGAGTGTCTTCCTTGAAAGGCCAAAAGTACCTCCGTCTTACCAACTTGCAGGTTCGGCGAAAGTCCATGTCCTTCACATAGAGAAAGCAAAATGCTCGCAGCCTGGGTGATCTTCGCTTCAAGCCGAAAAGGGCATGTGTCAGCAGCACACACACACGTGTCATCCATCCACGTCGGCCCCAAAAACCCCTGCTGGGACTGTGCAGGCCATTGTTCTTCATCAAGGAGAAGCCCTTCATGATGTGGGATGTGTTCCGCCAGACCCAGATCCTGTAGCTGCTGTTGAAGACCACATAGGATTCTGCTCCACAGGTAGGAGAATATGACATCTGCAAAACAGTCGCCCGGTCGAGAGCCGAGCGGCGTGCGGCATCTGTCAACCTGGCCCTTGACATGGAAGTGCGTGTCCTGGTGCAAAGCCCTCAATGTGTTTTGCTGGTGCCATCGAAGTCCAGCACTGGAGATCGCAGCTGGTTCTTCCAAATGTCGGTGGAGGTCTGCAAGGAGCTCTGCTGAAAGTCCAAGTCGTGACCCGACATATAAGATGAGCTCATCATCGATGTCACCGCCGACGACCAAAGGACGAAGAATGCCGCTTCTTGGCTCTCATGAAGGCACGCCCGATGTGGACCCCTAAAGTGACAGGCACGCGAGGCCGACCACCCAGCTGCTCCTGCTGTAGGAACTTGGTGAAGAGCGTGGTCTGATGTTGTCGAATGCTCCGATGTATGCTTTTGCCGATGTGGCTGGATATCAGAATGCTGCGATATGAGGCACAGCAATCCTTTCGGCCTTTAGCTTTCCATACAGGATGGAGCAACCCACCTTTGTGCTGGAGGGCCTCTTGTCCGTGGACAACCAGCTTCATGAGAGGTCCAAATAGCTTCCGCGCCAAAATCTGTGGGGCCCCACCACAAATGCCAGGATGCATTTGATCAGGTCCTGTTGCTTTGGAGGGATTGACTCTCCGCAGCGCCGCCTCAAGATCAAGTAGGCGCGGGAGTTCCTCGGCCGCAATGTCAAACTCATGCTGTCGTAGTGCAGCAAGGTTGGAAATCCAAAGCTCTCTCTGAGTGTGCAGATCCATCCGTACACCACCTTCCATTTTGCTAAAGAAGTTCAGCCACACCTCTACTGCCTCATTCGGTAAGATGCAGACATCTCCGTTTTCCTTTCTCACAAACGGGAGAGTGGTCTGTTTCAACTTCTTCAAGTTAGAAGGCCCCAAAAGAGGACGAAGCATTTTCAGAATCTGCGAAGCTGGCGCTCCATCTGGAAGATCTTCAAATTGCTGCTGGATAAGTCGACCTTTGGCTTGGCGAAGTCCTTGTCGAAGACGTCTGCTGGTGTGATAATATTGCCCAACCAAGCGCAGATTGGAGAGGTCCAGGTAACTCATGTAATGCCAATAGCGATGGCCTGCCTGCTGAGGTTGGTTGCTGGCCAGATCTGCATGAGTCTTCCACAATCCAAAAAGGACAACAAGGCTCTCTTCCCTGCGCCTTTTGGCTAGACTTTTCAGGCGCGCCTTTGCTGACAACTTCTCAGCTCTCAGCTGCCACAGCTCATCAGAAACAAAGGGCTTCTTGGCAAGTCTCCGAGGCGGAGGACAAATGTCTCTGATGCCCTGCAAAACACTTTGATTGAGCTGGTCAATGTGCGTCACAATGTCTGTGCTCCAATTTCCTGGTTCATAGCGTTGGAGCGCTGTCTTCACAACATCAGGATGAAGTTGGGCTCCTTCGAGAGGTGGGGGGGCCCTTCTTGGTGACTTTCACATGACGAATGTATTCCGTCCATGAAAGTTCAACAGCAGTGGCTTCATGATCCCAAACGCCAGGACTGATGTCGAGCTCCGGCACAATCTTGGAGATGGCGCATGCTTCACGAAAATGAGAAGACAGGAGCACATAGTCAATGCAGTATGAGTGACACCCTTGTGGATCAGTCCATGTTTCTCGAGGGCCCTGGTGAGCCTCAGTCGTGCTCGGCATAAACAGTTCCTGCGCAATCGAAAATTCCCGGAGCAAAGGTGTACCTGATGAGGTGTGGAGGCCTTCTGTGAACACGACACATTGATCCCAAGCTCCTGGCGACGCATTGGCGTCAATAAGAACAATGAGCGGATCTCGGAGACAACGATGGTGTAAAACTTGATGCAATTGCTGCCACCAGTCTTCCCTTTCTCGCAAGGCTATGCCACTTTGAGGTGCGTAGGCAACAAGAATCCAACATCGCCAATGAATGGTTTCAACATGCACCAGCAGGATACGTGCATCTTTGTAGACAATCCTGAAATCTTCTGTTGTGAAGAGGCAAGGCTGTCCAGCTAAGTACCCATAGGGTTGGCTCAGATTGACCCAAAGCTCCACACCTTGGTGCCTGCCAGCACATCCAGACGCAAGCCGGTAGATCTGGTCGACACACGAGCAAAACTCCTGGGTTCTCGTTTCCTGAAGCCCGAGGAAGTTGAACTTAAGGTCACTGAATTGCTTGCGCATGTATTGGACCTTGCCCGCATGCCCATCGGGACCACCACTCAGAGAGCCCACATTCGCCGTGCAAGCACTCAGGGAGAACTTCAGGAGCGATGTCTTCGTGGGCTGTTGGGGAACCTGCTGTAGATCTTGTTGTGGAGGAAGGTCAGGCGCTGGAGCATGTAGGCCATGTCCACAAAATAAGGGAACATCAGGCTGGGAGTTGAACAGCATCCAGACATATCCTACTGCTGCCCTCCATTTGCTCATGTCAAACTTTGGTCGTGGGCAATAGTGGCTTTTGATTCGCTCCTGCTTGGCCAGCCAATCACAGAACTCGTTCCATACTTCGCCAGCGTGGCCGGGTACATGGGAATATAGAACCTCCTCAGGCGCCAAAGCGGCTTCAACCGCCTGAAAAGTCCCTCGCAGGAAGGTGAAAGTGCCATCCATGTCCGCTGTTCCTTTCTGACCAGCTGCTTGACCAAGTGCGGTTCTCGAGTCTGACCGGAAACACGTTGCTATGTTCCAGTTTTGGCTGATGCGCCAGAAGGCAGCCCATGCCAGTCCTTCCTTTTCTGCCACATCTGCTCCAATTCGATGTGCTCCAACATGCATGTTGCTACAGCTGTCATAATGGACAGCATGAGCATTCCATCCAATGAACTTGAGACCTGGCGGGTCATAGCGCTCCCCCAGGACTAGGAAAGCCCAGGTGTCTCCTGTGCCCTCTTCTTCAGCCCGTAGGGGAGGAGTCTGCTTCAGCGTCCCAAGTGAAGAGCCATCAGCATATATCAAAAGACGGTCAAGCTCGTCATTGGCAATGGTGGCATCACATTGGGCGACAGCCTGTTTGATTTCCTCAGGCAGATCTAAGTCAGCCACATCAGTTCGTAGAAGGTCATGCTGAGACGCAAAAAGGACAGAAATGTCTTCACTAGTAAGACCCGTCCTGACCAGTTGCTTGCTGTCATAGCTATGATCTTTTTTGAAGAAAGGATGGGGACCTCGTTGTCCATGTTGTTGCACTGGCCAATGGAGGGGAGGCTTTGCTTTCTGTACTGGCGGGGCCATGCTAACCTTCTGGTTCTGAAAGGTGATTTTGGTGATGTTGGAGTAGACTTGCTCACTCTTTAAGATCACCGCCCGCCAGAATCCAAGTGCATAGAGATGGCAAAGGATCTCATGAGGCGTCAGCAGGTTCTGCGAGGAGTGCAAGAAGACCCAATCATCGTCAGAGACTTCAGTATGAACAAAAACATAGTGCTGAAAGACCTCTGTGGATGGAACTTGTGCAGGAAGGCAGATGATAGCATCCCTCTCAAGACAGAGAATGAAGTCCCAGGAAAGGCCCCAGCTGTTCAATTCCCATTGAATCTCCTCCCTTGTCGGTTGTGCGGACACTTCAATATAGGATGGGTGTGGCATCTTGTCAAAGCGCCAGACCAATTGAAGTGCTCGACCAGTCGCTCGTTCCTTCTCTGCGTAGCTGTCGCTGTCAATGTCTGACTTCCTCAAAACCACTGACTGTGTTTGAAGCAAATTCAGTGATGAAGAACTGGTTGACGCATGCTGACTGGCTGCTTGCGCCACAATATCACGGAGATGGTTGTTGATCACCAGGAAACTGTCTCCGTGTCGGGCAATCATCAGGTCTGTGTGGTCCAGCAAATGGTCACCATGCCAAATCATGCAGTCGATCAGACTCTCGACTGCGTTGCGGCCCAACAAGCCAAAGTATTGCAGGAAGAAATGTTTCCGCAGCTGTCGAGGCCCAACTGTGACCTGCTCGCTCTTGGGCTCCCTGGAGTCATATGTGTCAATCTTTGTCACATGGATACTGCTAAGGGCCGCTCGCGGATGCTGCACAATGATCACATGGGGTACCGCTCGTGGACCGTCACTTCCTCTTCCCGGCGTGGGTTTGACAATGAAGAGGTCCAGGCGGGCATCAGGATCAACGCGATCGTCCCAAGCTTCCGCAATGGTGTCAAGCCAGCGCCATGGATCAGAAAGAAGTCGAACAGGTCGATCTGATTCACAATGTGGAAAGCGATCATGATCTGAGTACCAAGTACGTACGTACAACACTCTGCCTTCATCTTCTCTTTCTGTTGCTGAGAGTTGGATCCAAAGAGGATGCAGTTCTTGTAGAAATGCAGTAGTGTCACCAAAATCAAGCTCTGGTCTACCTCCTTCTTGGATCTCCATGGGATCATCTGCTAGCATTTCAGGCTCGCGAACATCATGTTCATTCACTTTGCATGTGGTCACCGGGGGACCACTGCGGCTAGACAGAAATGGAGGCCAATAGTCAAATGCAGGTAGGCTCCAGCCAGGAAGTTGAAAAAGGGCCATTGCATCCCGATCATAGTCCAGGTCTTGCGCTTTGGGAATGTAGTTGAAATGGTCAATAACTGGCATATCAGCAACTCCAATACCATCCGGGAGTGCTTCAAGCACAGTTGGGATGTTGCTAGCCCGGTAGCCTCTGCGAAAACATTGAGCAACATCACGAGTGTGATAATCTCGAAGCTCACCTCTACCTGGCGGGACTGCTACCCTCAAGTAGTCCCCATGCAGAAAGTTCACAAGAGATTTGCTCTGGGAGCGCACCGGCTGTCCATTGTGCCACATCAAGCACGCCTTTCTCACATAACGGCAGTGGGCTTCAAGTCCCAGCATAGCAATGATAGCTTTCCGTGAGACTGTCATTGGAAAGAGCTTGACACGCCTCACCGATTCAGGCTCCATTGACGGCTGTGCATTGTGAAACTCAACGTCAATGAGTACCAATTGGAACGTCGAGCCCTCAGTAACATCCCCTGGTTTCTGCGCAATGAAAGGTTGTACTCTGGCAGTCAGGAGGTCCAAAGGCACAGACTGTACCGCGTGGATAATGGTGATGTCATGGATGCTCATGTCAAACTGATACGCAATGTCTTTGTGGAGCTTCTCATAGGAGTCCCAACGAGGCCTACAGTGCATGGGATTCATGTCCACGGTGTAGACAATGGCAGGCCGTCTGGGTTGCTCACTATCAGAGTCACTGGATGAGGATGCTCCTTCTTCTCCATGGGTGTTCTCTGGCTCCTCCATGTCCATGTCATCCTGGTGAACAGCATGCTGATGATGAAAAACCGCAGCTGCATCACGATTCAAATGTGGAGGATGCTGCAAGTTATCTGCAAACCAACCTGCAGACATCCATGATACCTCGTCATACTCCATCAGGTCTTGACCACTGTGTCGGCTGGGATGTGCTTCACCTTCAGGTTGACGACTACGAGAGACCTCATGCCCCACATAGATCTCCACTTCGTCTTCAAAAGTCACCCTTTTCACAAAAGCCCTGCTTCTCTTCGGTCGCAAAGACATAGAGGAGAAGGATGAAGAAGGTGTCATAAGCAAAGTGCCCATCTCCCATGCCAGGTCCAGACCTCGTATGGATGCTTCCCAAAATGGGGTATAGTCTGGGTCAAAGGTGAAACTGTGGCTCCAGTTCATCAGAACCGCATCAGAGCCGGCCATAAGCCCTGGACAAGTCTCCCTTGGGTCTACTTGTCGGGCACTCCAAAAGGCTGCATAGCTGTAGATGCGCGTCCAGGGGCATGACCAGCAGAGTGCGATGCATTTGCTTCTCCATCCCGTGCCTCTGTGCGCTGTCTCTTGTTCTTGCCTTCTGCTGCTTCTACAATGGCCGCATCTGCTTTTTGCTGTAGATTCTGCAAATTGTTCACCATCGCATTGATGTTCTCCTGGATGTCCTCCGCAGTGTCGATCTTGTCCGTCATCTCGTCGTCCGTGATCTCCACTGCCACATCCTCTTCCAGCTCTTCTAATGCGGTTTTCTTCGCATCGACATCTTCTTTGGTGCTTTGCAGTCTCTCTTGAGCAGCCGTCACCTTGGACGCCAGATCCTGATCGTCTTTGCCGAACTGCTCTGCAAATTGCGTCCATCTTTGAACCGAATCTGCCAAGTATTTTCGCCAATTGGCGTGCAAATTCGCACGCGCCTTTTGCGCCTCCTTGAGCTTCTTCTGCGCCTTGTCCATCTTGTCCACTGCGGTCTTGAGGCCCTTCGCAGTGGGAAGTGGCGTGGAGTGCTCCGAGACGATGTGCTTCACTTTGGCTGGAACCGGTGTGTTGGACTCGACCAAGGCCGTCGCGAGCAGAGTCAAATTCTCTGATGCTTCTTGCCCGTCGTCTCCCTCTACCTTCACCGTCACTTGGTCCCCCCGGTACTGTGAGTGCCAGGGAGGTTCTGGTGCCGGCATGGTATACTGGCCCTGCTTGTCCTTCTGCTTCTGCTTGGGCGTCTTGTGTCGCGGAGTGTTCCCGCGCCGATGGCTTCTCGGTGTTTGTCCCTGATCTTCCCAATCTTCCTTCCAGGATGCATTGTCCCAGCGTCTGCTGCTGTTCCATCCTGTGTAGTTCCAAGACTGAGAACTCCTCCTTGGGCTCTTTGGTTGCTCCTTCTGCGGAACGTAAGTTGGGTCGTTCCCATGTGTCCACTTGATCCCACAGCGGGCACACTTCTGCGTGTTGGCCTTGTTTGTCCGCCAACACACTGAGCAACGCCAGTCCACTACTGACTGCGCCATCTCTTCCACAATGAGGCCCAAAAAGTGTGCGTCTTGCGAATGATGCTTTTGTAAGATCCCAAACACCCTCTTGAGCTCGTGGTGCTGAAGGGTCCTGGTTCCTACTCTGTGTTGATGCCACTGCAAACGTGCAAGGGCTCTCCTCTTCCGCAAACGCCTTCTCGCTGTTGCCAATGAAGCCGTAGTTGCACTCGGCAAGAGTGATGATATACAGGATCAAAAAGAACCAAACCATACACCACCCCAAGCCTGCAAACGGTAGACCACCTGGCAGTAGCGCTCGTAGTCGAATTGACTCACCCAGCCCTGCGAGATGAAGATCACCTGGCAGTAGAGGATGAAGATCAAACCACCTCACCAGTGCCCTCCAAGACCACCTGGTAGAAGTGGTAGAACAAGGCCCACCAAAAGGGCCCGCGGATGCCCTCCAAGAGATCCGCTTAGGCACACAGGCAGCTGAACGGTCGTGGGGCAACCCTGCCTTAAGCCTTAAATATATATATATGATATCCCCGGCCGGTGATAGCCTATAGAATGTGGATCTTTTACAATTATGAAATGGTTTTCCGGACAGCCATTATATAGGAAGGATGGTTGGGGTGCACTGTGGTCTCCTTTTGCAAGAGTTGGGTTCATCATTTTATAAGGCCCGCACTGCCTACTTGCAAACTCTTCCTTTTTCAAGCATAAACTTTTGCAAAGAAAATCCCTTCACTTTATAGGTGCCAAACGGTTTGGTGAATCAAATCTTATTATAGACACCCCGCTGACCTTTGCAAAGAAATTGTCCTCATTTTATAGGTATATGGTTGTGCTAAGTAGAGCATGGTGCACCATTTTTTGTGATACTAAATTCTATTGATATATTTTTTTTTAATATTTATATTTATGTTGAACATTTGTTGGTTTTGATGTTTTCAAAGAATGTTTGATTTATTTTGAGACGTCATGGGTTGACAAGAATGGGGGGGCAGGGGGATCACCAAAAAAAACATTAAAACAAATTCAAAACATTTTGAAACCCACACTGGCACCTATAAAATGCCTTGCAAAGCTTGTACAGACCGCATTTAGTGTTCAACCAATTTTCCTTTCTTTACCTTTGTCCCAAGACTTTGGAAAAATTACATTATTAGAGTATATTAGAATCAATATTCTGACATGTTATCTGACATTTTCTCTGAGACATATTTTGACATTTCTATCTGGCATCTTCTGTAGCATAAAAAATACATATAAAATAAGCATATTGCAGCACATATTCAAATTCACGAAAAAATGAAGTTTTTTCATTTAATGGTATTGCTAATGGTATATGATCTATAATATTTGAAATATTTATAATATATATTTCTTCACTTTGATTATATTCAACATTGATAATATATATGTTCTACAATATTAATTCTTCAGGTACAACATTTGTCTTAATTTGTTGTATAGATATTTTTAACTCACAATTAAACATATTATAAGAATACACATATCAAAAAGTAAAGAGCCCATAAAATATCATTTTTAATTTTCAAACGTTACAAAAGTACCTTTTCCTGTTTACGCATTTAAATATGACATGTTTCACTTTCTTGTTGCGGCTTTTCCGCTGTGTCTCTCCCCTATAGCCTTCCCCCTTGGGGCCTTTCCGGGTCGAAGTCCTCGAGCCGCTGGGGCTTCCCCCTTCTTGTGTTACCCGACAGAAAAGAGGCAATGACAGGGTTTTGGTAGCCTGCTTTTTTTAAAGTATTTCTTATTAAGCTGCAAAGGCGAGACCTTTTCGATGCCATGAAAGTAAGAAAGCAAAAATTGCCGCAAAACTTGTACAGTGTGTTACAGACCGCAGAGTGAATGCTGCACACCCAAGCTACCACCTATAAAATGCCATGCAAAGCTTGTACAGACCGCAGAGTGAATGCTGCACACCCAAGCTACCACCTATAAAATGCCATGCAAAGCTTGTACAGACCGCAGAGTGAATGCTGCACACCCAAGCTACCACCTATAAAATGCCATGCAAAGCTTGTACAGACCGCAGAGTGAATGCTGCACACCCAAGCTACCACCTATAAAATGCCATGCAAAGCTTGTACAGACCGCAGAGTGAATGCTGCACACCCAAGCTACCACCTATAAAATGCCATGCAAAGCTTGTACAGACCGCAGAGTGAATGCTGCACACCCAAGCTACCACCTACAAAATGCCATGCAATTGTACAGACCGCAGAGTGAATGCTGCACACCCAAGCTACCACCTATAAAATGCCATGCAAAGCTTGTACAGACCGCAGAGTGAATGCTGCACACCCAAGCTACCACCTATAAAATGCCATGCAAAGCTTGTACAGACCGCAGAGTGAATGCTGCACACCCAAGCTACCACCTATAAAATGCCATGCAAAGCTTGTACAGACCGCAGAGTGAATGCTGCACACCCAAGCTGCCACCTATAAAATGCCATGCAAAGCTTGTACAGACCGCAGAGTGAATGCTGCACACCCAAGCTACCACCTATAAAATGCCATGCAAAGCTTGTACAGACCGCAGAGTGAATGCTGCACACCCAAGCTACCACCTATAAAATGCCATGCAAAGCTTGTACAGACCGCAGAGTGAATGCTGCACACCCAAGCTACCACCTATAAAATGCCATGCAAAAGCTTGTACAGACCGCAGAGTGAATGCTGCACACCCAAGCTACCACCTATAAAATGCCATGCAAAAGCTTGTACAGACCGCAGAGTGAATGCTGCACACCCAAGCTACCACCTATAAAATGCCATGCAAAGCTTGTACAGACCGCAGAGTGAATGCTGCACACCCAAGCTACCACCTATAAAATGCCATGCAAAGCTTGTACAGACCGCAGAGTGAATGCCGCAGAGTGAATGCTGCACACCCAAGCTACCACCTATAAAATGCCATGCAAAGCTTGTACAGACCGCAGAGTGAATGCTGCACACCCAAACTGCCACCTATAAAATGCCATGCAAAGCTTGTACAGGACGCAGAGTATTACAGGAGCTATTTCATAATGTTCCTAATTCCATTTTATAGGTGACTTGTTGGGCGTTTGTCTTACATCCCAACTACCCCCTCCAACTTGAGCAGTAACATTTTATAGACTATATTTTTGCTGTGGTCAATATCACTGTTAACCTTTGCAAAAGAAGTTGGGTCATAATATAGGAAGGTATGTGTTCATGATGGTTTTGCTTTGCACCTCATTTCATAGAGAGAATGTATGGGTCTACACCTTAGCTTTTCATTTTATAGAGCTATTTTTCCTATAGAATGAGGGGGGCAAAGGTCCCTAGGCAACACTAAGGGAGGATTATATGATTATATATGATGTTTTTTTAAAAGGAGATAGAAAGGGAGATATTGATACAAATTCCTCCTGGAGTATCTTAGAATATATCAAATAGGATGTTCAAATATGGTCCATGTCAGTGATTTTTCTGAAAATCCATATTCTATTTAATCGAGCGGATGATTACATATTATATGCTGTTTTTTTTGTCTCTGTTTCTGATTGCTATATGCATACACGTATACATACATATATGCATATATGTATTTATTTATATTTATATTATGCATATATGTGTGCAGCACGTGTCTGCGCGTATGTGAAAAATTGCCGTAACTTCTGTCCATGTTTACCTGGCCTCAGAATTTGCCGGGTCCGTTTTTTTCGGGATGCCTCAAGTAGATCCTGATTGTTTGGAGGCACCAAGCATTTTTTTCAGGCCTATGTACCCTCTGGTGAACTAACAGTTTGCTATTGAACATGGCCATTATTTATAGTGGATTTTCCCATCAAAAATGGTGATGTTCCATAGTTTTTTGTATGTTTACCAGAGGGTAAGGGCAATCTAAGGGAATATCATGACTTTATGCGATTTGAGTGGGAAAAATGATCATAAACCAGGTGATTCGGGGGGGAACTCCCTAGCTTTTAAAAGGCAATCCCAAGATGGCATCCAAGGAAGACCCAAGATCTTCCCAAGATTAACAAAGTGTAGCTTAAAATATGAAGTCATATTATATGTCCCATCATATCTCTATGATTGTTGGCTATAAATTTCAATTCTTCACCATGTTTGATGGTTCAATTCTAATTTTGCACCATTGTTTGATGGTTAAGTTCCATTTTTGTCTAAATCCCTCATGGTTCAGCCGTTACAATTTCCCTGGCGGGTTGCAGATAAAATCCAGGTGAGATGTGTGACTTCAACCCCATGGCGGCCTTTCGATGCATACAGGGTCCAAGTATCAAAGGAGCGATGGCGGCGGGACATGTTTGGTTCACAGCCTCTGGACAGGTTGATTTTTCTATACCTTGGAGACTTGGAAATCATGGAGGAAACATCACTGGTTGGTGGTGACTGGAACCATGGAATTTGATGACTTTCCATTCAGTTGGGAATGGAATAATCATCCCAACTGACTTTAACTCCATGATTTTGAAACCACCAACCAGATGAGTTTTGATTGGGATTCTAGCCATCAAACTTTGGGGATAGTGGATACAACTGATAAATCAAGGTTGGTTGACAATTATATGAGGCTATACTCTCCAAATCTATCGAATATATTGCGGATGATCACAGTCCAATATGGGAAATCCATGGAAATCACCAACGTCGAACGTGGTCGTGGTTGCTTCGTTGCGGGTGAACACGACCTGAAATCTGATGAAACCACCAAAGTGTGTTCATATTACTCTCTGGTTATGTCAAAATAGCTATTGAAAATTGCCATTTATAGTGGATTTTCCCATTGAAAATGGGGATCTTTCCATAGTTACATTAGTTTACCAGAGGGTAGTTTTTTGTGATCTCTGCCATGACGTGTTTCTCATTTCTATTGATTTTTTTTGTTGGACTAAACCACCAGTTCCCTCTGGGCCCAGTTCCATTCTATCCATGTTTGATGATTAAATCCCAGCCATGTTCGCTATCTTTGCTGTGTAAATTCAAATTTGGCATCATGTTTGATGATGAAATCCTAATTGTTAACCATTGTTTGACATTTAAATCTGAATTCTTCACCATGTTTCATGGTAAAATATTATGCGCTGACCATTCTTGATGGTTAAATCTGAATTGTTCACCATGTTTGAAGGTTAAACCCCCAATTTTGCCTATAGCCCTTTGTCAAGAGGCTGGTTGAGCGCCAGCGATCTGCATCTATGGCTGCAATCGCAGCCACATCCAGTGACAGGCAACGGCCACTGCAGCCTCACTGGAATGACCATGATGATGGTTAGTACGGGTAAGTCTCCTAAGTCTCCTAGAATATGGCCGAATAAAACAGGCCAGTGAGTTGCTATAATTTGCCCAGAAACATGGAGAGTTAGTGGGGCAAAACCTTGAACATCTTAAAAAACAATGAGGATTGAACGAGGGAAACTGGGTGAAAAATCTTGGTGGAACCATGCAGGATCAGCTGGGAGCTTTTACAGACTGGAAATGAGATGAAATAGGTCTGTGTCAAAAATTTGAGGTTATACACCAAGGTTTTGTGACATTCTGCTGGAAAATCTGGTTTTAAACCATTGGATCTTCGGTGTTTTTCTCGTAACATTCAGATCGAAACCACCAACCTTTGATTCTGGTTGGGTTCGCGCCACCAACGTGCAGAAAATGAGGAAAATTCAGGATTAAAGCTCGGAAGATGGATGAACTTGGAGCAAAAGAAGGGTAAAAATGGAGAGTAGCTGGTCCAGGCCCATTCTTTTTTCCAGCCTGCTTTCTTGCAGATGGTTAAGCTAGGTTTCTTGCAGAATCGGATCGTTTTGGAACATCGAAACCAGAAAAGCCTATACTCGTCATGTTAGTACAGCATAGTAAAGCATTGTCATAAACCACCCATATAAATTGATGGGATCTCCAAAGGAGATGGCGGATCCATGTGGACCAGTTGTTGCCTGTTGCCTTATCATCCTTCGGCCAGATCCCCTCATTCTGTGTTATGTATTATTATATATATATATATTGTTATCTGCTATATCATACTACATTGTATTATACTATATAATATATATATATATATTATATGTGTGTGTACTGTATTATATCTATTGTACTATACATTCTGTTTTATGATACATATATACACACATATATACACGCACACACACATATAATATATATATATATAGCAGTTCAGTTTCGCAACTTTTTGTTTTGACCCATGCTTGTGGCTTGGTTCCTCCGCATCACCGCAGGCTATGTGCTGGAGGACGTGCTGGCCATCGTCAAGTTGCGCACAGGCACCCTTGAGATTTTTCCTGAGGCGCGCGGCCGGGCGCGGGGGATAGCTCCGAAGGATGGGAAAAAGCTGGAAAAATTGAGAGAAGATCCAGAAAGTGTTTGTTCTTGATGGGAATGTACTCGGAGTCTCCCAACTTTTTGGTTCTGATATGTGAAGTGATATTATTGTTTGGCTGCACGCATGATTTTCGTGTGACGGTGGCAAGGTCATGCCAGGCCGGTAACTTGTCGTGCCATTTGTCACATCAGGATTTTGTGCGAATGACCACACCCACGTTTCGTTCCAGCGGTTGGTTAAAGGAGCTGGGAAGGGATGGCTTGGTGCCAACAGTGGTGCATCCTATTTGGTACCCTTTGGCAATCTGTTCTGGTGGGTGGACAAGTCCCGCTATTGAAGTACATCCAATGACCAGCAATTCTCGTAATCAGTTGATGTGATTGATCAACCTCTAATAAGGCTTCACTTTTTGGGGACACCCAAGACTTCAAACTTGTGTGATGCCTCTAGGAAAAATGTGTTTCTTTTTTTTTGTGGCAAGTAATTAATTAGAAAAGCATCGAACTGGTCCTTAAAATCTACGATTCAGCCTGCCAGAGATGCCAAAGATTGTGAACATCTGTGGTGCTTTTGTCACCCTAACTATCCCAAAAATGCACCAGATGGCCTCTAGGACTCTAGGAAAGCATTTGGACCCCCTAAAACACGTTCCCAAACTCAGTCTCCGAAGGTGCTTGGAGCTGGGATCTTCGTATTACATGGGTTTTACATGGTTTTATATATGCAATCATATGTTATATGTTGATTCTCCTCCAGTAGTCAAACGTGGCAATGGAAAATTCACCATTTAGTTCGATGATTTTCCCGGCGAGAAACCTGCATTTAGTTCAGGGATTTCCGGGCCAAGCATGCTGTTTTTGACACCGGCGGGTATCTGAAACTAGCGCTTGATTGGAGACATGGCAAGGTCTATTGGAGCTGCGATGTTCGTTTTACAAGATCTTTGTTGAATATATATATATATATAACACACTTACGTTTACTTAAAGTATCTTAAAAGTTATATCCCAAACATTCTCCTCATCCCATCCCAATGAGATTCCTGCTATCCTATCACCATCTATCACCTTATGGTTGGTAAACCAGTGGTAAACCCCCCATTGGTTTTGCATCACCACGAAGGAGTTGGCGCTGGCCCGCGGCGCCCGGCCCGGCCATATGCCGCCCGAGGTGAGTTACAGGCTCTGTCAGCGCCTCGGCGGAGTGATCCTAGGGATTTAAGCCTTAGCCTTAGGATATCTATGGATATTTGATATCTGAGGTTAGGATATCTCCCGGATATCTGAAATCTATGGGTATCTGATATCTTAGGATAGCCCGCTGTTTTTTTTGAGATTTCATGATATACTATGTTTCAATAGCTACGTGAAATTGCCAGAGGGTATATGAGATCTTAGGGATTTAAGCGTTAGGATATCTGATATCTGAGGATTGTAGATACAGTATTACAACTTCGGATAGATTGGAGTGGATTGAGGATTTTTCGCTGGATTTTTTGGCAGTACACCCAAAGGGGATCAACAAACCACCAAGAACAATTTGCTCGCAGGATTCAATCATCTAGATTTAATCCTATCTGCAAAACACCCCTTAAATGGTCCCAGACAGATGTAAATTTCTTACTAAACCCATGGTTTCTAGTGGCTGCGGAAAAATTCAGAGGGATCCATGAAGGACAAGTTGTACCAATGGGGAGATTCGTTGTGAGCCCGCTGATTTTCTTGAGAGATTCTGTAGATACAAGGTGGTGCTCCCCCAGTGATTAGCTAAGTTGGTTTATAAACCCTATGAATATTATAGATATATCTACCATAAACCATAGTTATTAGTTATTGGAGTTATGTTTACCAACTTAGCTAACTATGGGGCACCACCTTGTGTAGATAGATAGATATGTGAATCTGGTGAATTTTGGCAGATACGCAACACGGCCGGGCATGGGCAGATCTATGGAATCTATGGGCTGCTGGGTTAATGGAGCCATCAGGCTGAGGGCCCAGGCCCAGTTGGGTCGGTGATTCCCCTGTACGATATACGATGGGTCCCCTCTGCCAAACTAACAGTTTGCGAACTTGAACATGGCCATTTAGTTCGTTGATTTTCCCATTAATAGCATGGTGATTTTCCATAGTTTTTTGTATGTTTACCAGAGGATATCGATATAGCCTCTGCTAAACTAACACAGTTATGGTTAAAATCACCCGTTTTTAATCGATAAACCAACTGCCAATGGCCCAATGGCCCAATGGCCGTGTTCTACGTCGCAAACGATTGAATTACCAGAGGGTATCCAACAACATCAGCCGCCATTCCTCTGCGGCTGAAACTTCAGGTGCGGCTCAACCAGGCGGATATCATTGGATAACGTTTTTTTTTGTGGTTTGAAAATTGAAACCGGACACCCCGGTAGCCCCGGTTTTTATTCTCGCGGTTTTTTCTGGGCTGCCTGTGTTTTCCCTGAAAATATTCCATTGAGATCAGGTTTTGGTGACGAAAAAAAACCCATGAAATCCTGAAAATCCATTGAAACTGGAGAAAAAAACGCAAATCCCATTGAAAAGTGACCATTTTTCACTGAAACCCATGGGTTTACTATGGGTTTACCATGTGTTTACCATGTGTTTAAACCATGGCGAAACCATGGTGAATCCGTTGAGTGGAAAAACGGCTCACCATGGCTCCCAGATCGTTAGGCTCTTCCTGGTGGAACTGGACTTCGTGAGCCGTCTCCGATTTCATCAGCGAAGGTTGCGGCAGGTGCGATTTGAACTTGACCTTTTTGGCACTGCGAAATGATGGTTTACCCTCTGGTTATGTCAAAATAGCTATTGAAAATCACATTTTTTAATGGGAAAATCCACTATAAATGGCCATAGCTATTGAAAATGACCATTTATAGTGGATTTTCCCCATGAAAAATGGTGATTTTCCATAGCTATGCTAGTTTACCAGAGGGTAATTTCAGGAGTAGTGTTGGTAAATGTCATAAACCAGCCATATTTCGATGCTTAGAACTAGGTCAATCTAATTATGCTTAGAACTACTGGTTGGTGGTTTGGAACATGTGTTATTTGTTCATATAATTATTGGGAATAATAATTTGAACTGACATCAACTGACTAATATTTTCAGAGGGGTGGCTCAACCACCAACCAGACTAGGTCAATCTTAGTACTACTATGGGGTACCCATTTAGTAACTGGTGAATAGCCCTGGTGATTTAGTTGTTCCGAACGGGATAAAACGGGAAACCTTTTCCCTGACCCGGCCTGAGAAGATTTCACGCATTGCAAATCATGGCCATGGACAATTCACCAATTTTCGTAACTACTAGGTCAACCGACTAGATACCCTCTGGTAAACTAACATAACTATGGAAAATCACAATTATTAATGGGTAAATCAACTATAAATGGCCATTTTCAATAGCCACGTTAAATTACCAGAGGGTATACTAGATGGATACAAACTAATCCTTTACAGTAGTCTTTTGGTATGGGATTATCTACGTTCACCAGCAAAGAATTGAATTTTTACAGGGTATCTAAGATTGGCACTCAGAAGAGTCTAGAGTCGTCTAGAGGGAATCACCATTAATCATTGAAATTGTTAAACATCATGAAACCAGAAAATCAGCCACGTTTGAAATCATGATCATTGGCCCTGGCCAATTTGGTGTTCAGAAACCTCAAAATGGCTGATTTTGTGGTTTCAATCATGTTGAATGATGGTTGGAATTGGGGGAACCATCTCCATCATTCAGAAAATTGGATTTGGCCTTCACTGGAAAATTCCATTCATTTGCCCAGAGATATCCAGAGATATCAAAAGAGAGTTCCCCAAAGTTGGAACATCAGGATGTTGCTGCGGGCCTTGCGGCTAGACTACCTGTTGGAATTGTTGGTATGCCAGTTTTGGGTGGCAGATTCAGGCACTGTAAGGATCTTGGGGCTTCCCAGTGCCTGAATCTGCCTGTAGCCTAAATCTTGCCGAGATCCCTGGATGTTGTTTGTGTATCTACACACAGCTTTTTTTGGTGTGTCTGAATGGTTTTTCCAAAATATCCCGTGATCTTCCCATTTTCCGGCTTTCGATGTGCATTTCGTGGTGGGGTTTCAACCCCACGGGCCGTCCCATGGGTCCCATTGAGTCCCTCCCCACGGTCCCCAGGTGGCGATCTCGGGCTATGCCATCATGAAATACCTCGATGCGGATGAGGGTTTCTGCGCAGGCCGGCTGGCACGGGCTGGAGCCCTAGGAATGATAGCCACGAGGGGAAAATTATGACATTTGGATGGATATAGGTCAAAATGTAAGGCCTGGACCACAGATCTAAGTCCAATATCAACCATTTGATGATTGGGGTATCCAATTTTGACCCATACCCATATCATATCTGACCTCTTTGTCTCTATCTACCAGTTTGAGCCCCAAAAGTATCTGGAGTGTTGGGGGCAACCCTGGTCTAGGGGTAACAGCTGTAACCTTCTGGCAAAAATGACAAGTTTAGGAAAAACATGGAAAAACACAAAAAAGGTCCTGAAAAATCGAGTTCTGATCAGAAACACCACAATGATGTGGGAACAGAAGTACTTTGTTCATTCATCCAGTGGAAGATCCGAACCTCCAGGCATGGGTGGTCTCCTGTGCTCGTCCGCGGTGCGTTCCTTGCTGATGCGCGGTGTCCCGGGATACGCACGGCCCATGGAATCGATGTATCTTGGCATATCGCCGAAGGCCAACTGGATGTGATCACTGGAAATCATCCCCCAAATTGGAGCTTGAAAGCTGATCTATGCCATGGTTGGTGGTTTGGAACATGAATTTTATTTTCCATAAATATATGGGATAATCCACCAACCAGATGCCATGGTTCTAACTGTTGGTTTAGATTCACTTTTTGAATCAGTTGATAGTCTTGCCATCCCCCTAATCAACCCATCAACCAAGTTATAAAACAACTTAGCTATCATAAATCAGCGATAAATCCCATTACATATTAAATCCGTGTTTGTTTCTTGATTAAATCACCATGTTTCCCATTGTTTTCCAGCATTTTTCCAAGTTTTCAGATGTTGTCATTGCATCCCTCTGGACGGCCCTCAGGTTATGCGACGCCCTGCTGAAACGAATCAACCCTTCGGAAACTCGTCCCCAGACGGTGGAGGCTCCAACGAGCCAACATGAGCCAACCCTGATGGGGATGTCATGAGATATGGAACTTGTATAACCAACAAGAAGATGTTTGGTACCCGGCCTGGTAAACCTACAAAAAACTATGGAAAATCACCATGCTATTAATGGGAAAACTCACTATAGATGGCCATGTTCAATAGCTATGTTAGCTTACCAGAGGGTATGTTTCATTGATGTGGGTCTATGGGAAACAAATGTGGTTCAAGCAGCAAACAATTGGAGGTAACAAATGAATTTGGTCATGGGCGTGCCTGAAAATGGTGACTTTACACCCCATATTGGAATTTATTCGAAGGGAAAATGATGATTACAGCAACCAGTGGATCTAGGTGCACACTATGTGCAGACAAAGCCAATTTGATCATGTTGTTTGTTGTACTACAGTAAAGTTAATGAGATTTCGCTGCTACCTGTTGCCACCTGTTGAGAGATTTTGAGCCTGTTCCATCACAGAAAGTGGTGTGAAGCTGTCATTTTGGTGTTGCAACGAAAAAGTATCGATGAGATGTTACAGAAGTCAAGCAAAGGCAAGGTCCGCTTGAATTGCACCGCTGTGTTCGTTTGAAGACGGGGCACTCCCCAGTTTTGATGGTTCATCATCCGCTGATTGATATCATTTGGGGCTTCCCCTATTTTCAGACAGCAGGGACAGCTCATTTCATGAAAATGTCCAGTTTCGGGAACAGCCAGCTGGATAAGTCTCCCCCTCCTATATGGCCTCTGTTGTCCTTCACCATTGGTAGAAGGCAAGCATAGTAGGGGCGAAACTTGCTGCCACTGCTCCCAGGTTTTTTTTGTTATCTATTCGTGATAATTATACCCATTCTTTATGGCTAATATCCTATTCTTAACCCACGGGGTGGCCCCCAGTTATAAGTTGATTAATAAACCCCCATTAACTATTATATATATATATCTACTATAAGCCTCTATAAACCATCATTGGCCTAGTTATTTGATGTTAAACTTGCAGCAACTCTTCACGAACTGAGGCACCACCAAACGCCCCAGATGTTCTCCCAACTCAGGACGCAGCATTCTTCCCAGCCGATGCCCTGGGTCGGCTCTTGGACGTGCTGCTGCCCACCGCAGGATGGACCGCAGAGCGTGGCTGGGACCTGTTTGGTGGGCTATGAACCAACTGGAGATGGTTAAAAAGGGATGAAATCCAACCTGTTTGGTGTCGCCTCTGGTAACATAGCTAGTTATAGTACTGTAGCAAGCATGCTGTTGGTTTTCCCATGCGTGAAACTGCACTGTGTATCTTCTGAAAGGGGGTCATGTCTTGACTATGTTTGGCCTGTAGACGTACACATGCTCTTTGTTGGAGCGAATTTGTCGGCCTAAGTTTCTGTTCCTTCTTTGGTTGAAGTTCTTGGTTTGCTGCAGACAGTTGAATAAGATCGCTGAACAGACCACTGATTGAAGATTATGTCTAGAGAACCTTCGTTGCGTCTTCCGACACAGTTGGCGCCCTGGAATTGCATTTTGGGGTCTTGATTTGGGTCCAATTTTGAAAACTGTTTTGGTTCCATTTTTGGGTTGGGCCCTGCTTTGGGGCCCCATGATTTTTCTTTTAATTCATTGGGCACCAAAACGGTATCTAAAAAATGGACCCTAAACAAGGCCCAAAATTGGACCCAAATCAAGACCCCCAAAACGCAATCCCGGGGCGCCAACTGTGTCGGAAGACGCAGACAAGGTTCGTGTAGACATGATCTTCAATCAGTGGTCTGCTCAGCGATCTTCTTCAACTGTCTGCAGCAAACCAAGAACTTCAACGAAAGAACGAAAAGGAAACTTGGACCGGCGAATTTGCTCAAACGAACAGCATGTGTACGTCTACAGGCCAAGCATAGTCAAGACATGACCCCCTTGCAGAAGATACACAGTGCAGTTTCACACATGGGAAAATCAACAACAGCATGCTCGCTACAGTACTATAACTATGGAAAATGCTGTGGAAAATGGACATTTATAGTTCTTTTATGTTGCATTGATTTACTCATGAAAATGGTGTGATTTTCCACAGGCATGTTGGTTTACCAGAAGGTAAATTCGGGATTCGTGAATGACAATGATGCGATCAAGGTTCAGAACAGCTGTGACGTCATTTTTGATGAGTTTTTTGGATTTGTTTGGCGCGTTTGTTGTGGCCAATTGATCAATGGCCATTTCAGGATCCTAAATTGGAGGTACCTACCATATATAAGGCCTATTTTAGGATCCTGAAATTCCCATTGAATTGATGGGTTTCCGGTGTTCCAAGCATCCCAGGCGCAGCCTTCGAAAGCTATGCCTATGATCGCCCCCGCAGCCCCATCCGTGTGCCAGCCACGAGCCCTCCGCGTTTGGTGAGCCCTCGCCGCTCCGAAAGTCCCAGGTCTAGCCGCTGCTTGGTGAAATTCATGGTGTCCAGGTTGGACGCGATGGTTATATAGGGTGTTGAAATATGTTATATAATAATATGTAATATAATAATATATAGTATATTATATATATATACATATTGAAATATGTTGAGATATGTTGAAATTGAAGTGTTCTTTTGCACTCTTTTGTGAGTTTTGATTTGTAAGGAGTTTCTATCATGAATTTTCAGTCGTGTTCCTTGCAGCCTGCAGTGTACGCGCTTCACGGGCACAGAAAACACGGGAGGATGACAGTTCCCAGTGGTCCCAAGAAAAAAGGATCGAAAAGTGCGTCCCTACTACATGGGCCCTGGTGATTGGCAGTGAACATTTAGAGTGAAGGTTCCCTGTAGTTTGGATATGTTTGGATGAAAGAATATGAAGAAACAATGTGTTCATAATGTAGTTTTTCCTTCATACAACACAGTGAAACTTGATAAATTTGGATATTGACCATGGTTCGACCGGATTTTATGTTTGTTTCATTCTGAACACATCCATGTATATATTTGCAATCACTCAGCCAAAATAGTTGACACAACGGTACGTTTACCATGTGCCCAAGTAAAAAAACACATTTATTGCCAGCATTGATCGGGAATACCTAATTCATAGCTTTTATATTTTGCAGAGGTTCCTAGAAAATCAGCAAATCAAACATACCTGACCCCAATTCTCACCCTTGGATTTCTGCCAGAAACCTCCCAGAAACCAACCACCGGTGCCCTTAAGAGGCGCTCTGCTTAACGGCGTCCCCTTGCGTCCAAGGCGGCTACCTGGGCAGCCCGGTCCGTCGCAACTTGGACTATGAACCCATCAGTCCTGCGCGGAGCGTGCGAAGCCCCGCGAGTCCCGTGACGCCGTTGCCGGAGACTTGGGCCAAGTTCTGGTTGGGTGAAACGATTTATGGGGGGCTCATGTTCCATGGATGCAACCTGGCGAAAAAGATGGTGGAAAAAGGCAGATTGGTTGAAAAAAATCATGGAAACTACGGCTGTTTAAAAGCAAAGGCCCTATACCCTCCGGTAATCAAGTTTGGCAATGGGAGGGCCCCAAAAAATGAAGATTTGAATTTAAGAAATGCCTTCAAATTTGGGGAATTGTTTGTTGCCTGTTTGATTACCGGAGGGTAAACAATCCGGAGAAATATGGGAAAGATGCTTGTTATCCTGAAAATATGGGCTGGGTAGAAACCGCTTGCACTTTGTGACAAGCCAATTCGCAACCACTTGCTGAACTTCAAGATCCTGCACCTCAAAATGGTTGATTTGGTTTGGTAGTTGGCCCTTATTGAAAGCAAAATGTCCAGGAGAACCATGGAAGACCCTTGTAATACATCAATTAATGTCATATGAATATTTGATGATTTTGGATGGAAAAAAACATGGATTTCCCATGATTTCCCCTCGTGTTTCCTTGAAACAAACCCCAAATCGCCAGAGGACTACTTGGTGCCAGATCGACGTCCTCCACGGCATGCGGGGCAAAAACTCTATGAGTCTTGGACCAACGCGACGCCATCGCCCAAATCGCCCATGAGGAGAGCCGACGCTCCACAGCTCACCACACGTCATGCTTCACCAAGGTCCTGAGAGATGTCGTTTTTACATGTTTTTACCATCCCCAATTGGGGGTTCTTCTTGGGTAAACTATGGTCCCCTGGCAATGGGATGTTTTTAATTTTTTTAATGACCCTCAAGCATAGTTAGTCAATGGAACCCGGGGAATGTCAATAGGATGGTTTAGGGTTTAGGGTTTACCACATTAGAACTGTACCTCCATCTCTTAAACTGAAGAGTTCCTCCTGCTTTCTGTTTTGTGGACCATGTCTTGAGAAATTTGGGCCACTGCGGTCACTTCTCAGAGAAGAAATATAAGAAATGTGTAGTGAAGCCACACAAGTTTGTTTTTGTCCCTCGTCTACCCTGTTCGTGCTCGTGGGGACGGGAAGTTGGTCGGCACCATGGCACCATGGCACCATGGCACCAGGACCACTGGAAACTGGATCAGCGAACTGTCCACACAAGACCCTGGACTTTCGATGGAACGCAGCCTCGAGAGTTTCCTTCCTTCTCCGTCTCGCAGTTTCAACGATGCTTGGCTGAGACTTCTGCGCATCGCTGCTGAATCCCCTGGTTGTCCCCGGTTGTCCCTGTGTTCCCAACACATCCCAAATTGTTTCTGGGTCGAAGGGACCCCAAATGTTAACCAATGGCCACAATTGGTTCATGTTCCCGTCTGACTTGGCAGAATTTATGTCATATATTTGTTATATTCATACAATTTTACAGGGGTGGTTCGAAAATTGGTGACCCCAAAAGCTGGCTTTAAATGTGTTTTAACACTCCTTTCTGGATGATTTGGGGGCATGGCTCAGATCTAGGGAACTGGCCCAAAATGGGCGAACGTGTCAGGGTTGTTCACGAACTATCCTGGACTATCAGGACGTTGCGCGGATGGGTTTGCCCAAAACGGTGGGATACCAAGGAATGGCTAGGTCCAGAGGCGAACATGATGTGTTAAACCACTGGATTCGGGAGTTTCAGACAAACCCAGGTGAGTTATCCCCCTAAAATGCCCCATGATTAGCATGACATATCATGACATATATCATGGAAACAGATCATGAAACATCATGCAAAAAATATAGTGGAGTGGAATATCATGTTAGTAACCGTATTAGGGTTGCCTGGATAATAGCAATAGCCATCATATAGCCCTATGATATCATGGTGGACTCATGTTGATATCTTAAAGCCACCAGCACTGGCACAGCATGATACACTGAGGGCTCCTTCTTGCGGGAGCCAAGTCTGGAACGCTTCAGAGCAGGTGGGGCCGGGAAGGCTTGGAGATAGCCGGAGCCGACTCCATCGATGGTCAATGTTGGGTCAAGGGGATTACCCTCTGGTAATTTAACATAGCCATTGAAAATGACCATTTATAGTTGATTTTCCCATTAAAAATGGTGATTTTCCATAGTTATGTTAGTTTACCAGAGGGTATGATCCGGATGAATGTCAAAAATTATGATGGATTATGATCATCCTTACGATAGGGATTCTGATTGGGATGGTTATTATGAAGATGTTTATTGGATCACTTATTATGTTTATTGATGTTTATTGGTTTGCACAAAAAAAAAAGAACCATCCCAATATATGATCCCATCTGGTTGGTGGTTTCAAACATTTTTTATTTTCCATTTCATATATGGGATGTCATCCTTCCCATTGTCGAACTCAACCATATATATATATGTGTGTGTGTACATATATTCTCCTCCATTTCATTAATCTCCCCATAGATTTAGCAGATTTCCCATTTCATTAGATCCCAATTAATATGATCCCATGGTATTTTTGGGGTTTTCCCCACTAGAAATGTGTCATAACGCTTCGTTCGGGATGGCCATGGAGATCCGCGATCTCCTGAACTCGTCAGATTCGAAGGTGGGAAATGAACTCGTCGAAAATACATGGCAAAAACCATCGTTAAATACATGCTACATATTGCGAACCATGGAATATTGGAATATAAAAACCTACATTTACCAATTTACCCCCAAAAATCACCCAGTTTTGTAGGTTTAAAAATATTCCAGCACCATGCTTCGCAGTAATGGGCATGAGCTTCGCAGTAATGGGCATGATACATGGTCGTACAGCCGCAGCCAAGTCCTGCTGGATGGTCAGGTTTGACCTCTCCGACCATGGACAGCTTCAGGCAGACCAAGCATTTCCTGGATATGCGCGCTGGGATCTCAGTGTCATGTTGACCCTCCACAGGCTTATTGATGGACCTGGGGATGGAGAAGCTCTAGTTTCAATAAGGGTTTGGTGGGTTGAAGTGTATAGAATATATACTGTATATATATATATATAGAGAGAGAGAGAGATAATGATAGATAGTTATATAGATATGCTTACATTATGTATACGTATATGTATATAATGCGCGTGCGTGTGGTATTTTGTGTATATGCTCATCTTTGTTAGCATGTATGCATATACACATGCATTACTGTACCCCAATTGTCCATTTCTCTGGTTAATTGCAACCACCAATGAGATCAAGTTTCATAACTTTGGAGCTGCAAATGTTCAGATCTACAGTATGATTGCAGCATTCAAATGCATTTCATTTAAGCATTTCAAAACAGATGCAAGTTCATAGCCAACCAAAAAAGTGATACCTCATCCAGCCCCCAAAAAATAACACAATTTTCTGTGGCAAACCCAGTGCCATATCTCAACAGGCACGGGGTCATTTTAATCATCCCAAACGGGGCCATACCAGAAATTGTCATGTCATGTTATCGTCAGAAACAGGGATTTCACAATCCGAAAAATGTGAGGCGATCATCGAACATCTTGATTCTTATCATGATCTAGTCATCAAACTGTTGATTCGTCAGAAATGTCTAGAAATGTTGTTTCAATTCAATCCCCAAAGTGGGATTCTATCACCAAGGATGTTCACAAAAAAATGTAGATTCCTATCAGATTCTATCATCAAACATGGATCAAAAATCGCTACTTTATCATCGAAGACATGGGGATTGTATCATGGCGAGTCCTGACCTTCTCAGTCGTTGTCCCTAGAATCCATCCCCCAAGGAGCAACGCGCCGTACAACAGCATCTTAGCGCCATGGAAGTTGGGAGCAGCCTTAACTGGAAAGTAGTTTCATCATTTCTAAGAAGTAATTCATATGAAATCAGTAATGTTTAATATGTTTGTCACCTATAAATGGATATATATATATATGTGGTCCATGTCCCATTTGCCGTAGCACAATTAGCAAACTGTTAAATAACCGGAGGATAGTTTAAGACTTTGCGAGCTGGAAAATGATGAAAATGGCCTAGTGATAGATGGTTTACCTATTTTTCAACTGGTGATGTTCAATGATTTACAATAGCAGCAAATTGTCAGATTACTGAGAGGGCAATCAATCAAATGAAGGTTTTATGCCCAAGGAAAAAGTGGGATTGACACGAAGAGTTGGATGGTGTTTGCACAAAAATACTGCTTGGTGCTTTGGGACATTTTTCATTTTTCCATATATTGGGAATTTCAATGAATTTCATCACTCCAACTGACGAACTCCATCATTTTTCAGAGGTGTGGCGAAAAACCACCAACCAGAATATTCTGGGTCAACCGCATGGATCTACGGGCACTTTTTATCGAACGAAGGAGCATTGATCCATCCCTTCATTGTCTCACTTAAGTTCCTCGATTCAAAATGAGGCAACCGCGCTTCAGCCGCCATTTTTCATATGTTTGCGTTAAGGTTTTAAAAAAAAAGACGGGGTATGGTTACCATTGGTTACCATTCTATTTTATAGATATGTACGTTCATAGATGTTAATAGCCAACATTCCCTTAATGTGGCTAAAAAATAATAAACCCAGTCATAAAACATCACCCAGTCATCATTTTGTGGTGGTGAAAAACGGCTACACGGCTCCCAGTCATTGCATCATGGCTGGTTTATCCAAGCCTCGGGATGGTCAGGACCTTGATGGTCATGGCGCGTATCGCCAAGTTGGATTCGCAGGCCGCCTGGATGCAGTCGACTACGAGCCGTGGCGAACTACCCACGGCGAGTTAAAGTGGGTTAGTTCACCCCAGTGATTTCAGTGGATAAAAACCCTACAAAAATCCCATTTATAACTGGGGTTATAAGCCACTTACGAGCCGTGGGATGAGCCACCAAGTATACAATGCTAGCGAGAGAATGATGATATATGATGGTACCCTCTGGTTATGTCAAAATAACTATTGAAAATGGCCATTGATAGTTCATATAGTTCATTTACACACTAAAAATGGTGATTTCAACAGCTATGTTAGTTTACCAGAGGGTATATGATCTGGTTGGTGGTTTGGAACATGACTTTTATTTTCCCCAATAGTTGGGATGATGATCCAATCTGACGAACTCATATTCTTCAGAGGGGTTGAAACCACCAACCAGTGATAATACTTATATGATAATAATTAATTATATGACAATAATTATATGATGATAATCATATTATATGATGATATATAATTATATGACAATAATTATATAACAATTATCATATGATAATAATATCTAATTATCATATCATAATCACGATGACATTATTACAAGGTGGTGCCCCCAAGATAGCTAAGTTGGTTTATAACTCCAATAACTATGGTTTATAGGTGATATATCTATAGTTAATGGGCTTATAAACCAACTTATAACTGGGGGGCACCACCTTGTAATATATAATACTAGCAGGTGTTTCGACATTTCAAAGTGATGACCTTTGCTGCGAATCGCAGAATCGCTGAGGTGGAAGATCTGAAGTCGCTTATGCCAGCGTGTTGCACTGCACCTGGGTGGCGTGAGGTTCATCGTGCTGCCACTGGAATCCGAAGCCGAGAATATTTGGGAGTTCAACCTGTCCATTTGCTATAGGCTTCACTGGTAGCTTCGATTCTTTCAAAATTTCGAGTCTCTTGATCATCTTGAGTTTCAGTGGTAAAGATGGCGAAGCCAGCATATACTGAACAGAACTATTCCTGAAATGATTTTCCCATTAAAACCTCCATTTATAAAGGATGTTCCAGTTCGCTGTGTTAAATAAGCAGATGGTAAACCTCCATTTCATATGGTTTTCCTATGGTTTTCCTATATCATTGCAGAACTTCGCAGCCCGAGGTGGAAGAGGTTTTTGCTGAGCTTGATCCTTCGCTGCATGGGCGAAGTGATGTTTTTCTTCCACTCAGTGAGACATCCTTTCAGACATGGATAGAATTGCATAGAGAGTTATATTGTTATATACGTTATATATATATATATGTAAGGTGTATGTATATACAATTATTTTTATATATATATATACACATAATTATTACGTATGTATACATACTGTATATGGGTCATACATATATGCATATGGATAGACAAATAAATAGATCCATCGATAGATAAGAAGGATAAGAACAATAGATGGATGGACAGATAGACAGATAGACAGACAGATCAACTGACAGCCAGAAAGATAGACAGGTAGACAGATAGAGAGATACTTAATACTGTGGATGGAAGAGATCCTGCACCAGTTGATAGTTGATTTATCCCATTGTTCATAGGGTTTCAAGCAACCCAGGTGGTGCAGGATTTCTTCCACCCACCGTATGTTTGCAACAGCAGCAGTTCCCCTTGAGGGTGTGATTCTATTCATATCCTTGGCTGCTCAGGACACAATGCGCGCGGGATACATCAATTTAAGCGATATTCGGCGCTTCATGTTTGGCGCCTCGAAAGCAAACCCACGATCCAGGTGCAAGCCATGGCTATCATCCCACAAACTTTACCACACATCAAGCAGATTTCCGAATTGACAAACTCTCCGTTTTTTTTGGAGTTCGGAGCTAAAGGCCAGCTTTTCGGAGCAGAGTTTCCCCACATGACAGTTGGGTTCTTGAATCATCGATCCGCTCCATGGTGGGTTTGGAGGCGCAAGCCCAATTGCTGGCTTCTGACTGTAGCCTCCATCGGATCCGGTGGCTTCTGTCATTAGCGGTTGGAACTTTCAGTAGCTCCAAAGCGCTTCCCCACTGGAATATGGATAGCCATGGCTGCCTTCACCCCTCCATTCACCGCTGGATAGTGTAGTAAAATGTTACATCGTGTTCCCGCAAGCCAATGAAACACTGAAAGCGATTCTTGTAAAACTTACCCTCTGGCAATTTAACATAGCTATGGAAGCCATGGCCCAGTTATAGTTGACTTACCCATTAAAGTGGTGATGTCCAATAGTTATGTAAACGTGTACCGTAAACGGGTAACATTCCCATCGTTTTTTCATGGCAAAATCGGCGACCTATCAAACAACTGGATTCCACTAATGCGAAGCTGAGGCTACGGCATGACGGTGAAATACGCCTCGTTCACCACCATGGTCAATGAGCTCCACCTGCGACGAAAGATCTTCGCGCAGCACGCGCTGAAAGGTGGAATGATGATGGGATGGGGGCTGGGGGCTGGGGGTTAGTTGTTGGATGATCCGTGACTTGGGAAATCCTGGGAAATCCTGGGAACTTCGGAGATCTGTGGAGATTTATTTGATGTTTTTTTTTCGATTTGTCCATCAAATATAGGCGATTGCGATGGATTGCGTGTGATTTTTTCATGTTTTTTGATGACAATGGTGATAAATCCCATAAAATGGCTGTGAAAACGATGGAAATGTTGAAAATTATATGGTTTCTATTGATTTCAGAGGGCCTAATTTGAAGACATAGCCTGATTTGGGTAGTTATGTGGAGCTTCCAACCCACCATGGATTTGCGCTTCGAGGTTTTGGAGCGACACCAGTTCGCTCAACGGTGGAAAATCAACGGCTGGGAAATCCCACCAACGAAAAACGGTGGTTTGTTCATGGGAAAATCATCTATCAATGGTTACTGTATGTTAAATTTATCAATGATTTTCCCATGAATAAATGGTTATTTATAAAATCATCTATAAATCATGGAACCATCTATAAACCAATGTGGGGCCCTCCAGTGATGTTAGATTGTTTATAAACCCCATGAATACTATAGTTATAGGTACCATAAACAATAGTGAAATTGGAGTTATGTTCACCAACTTAGCTATCGTTTGGGGGCCCCACTTTGTATAAATGGTTACTGTATGTTAAATGTTCCATTGCCATGTTTGAGTACCAGTATTTTGATGGACTGGAGGAGTTTGTAACCCTGAAACCCTCCTCGTTCGGACGCTAGACTGCGGCAAGCTTGGCTTGTTGGGATTTCAACTCTCACGATGGATGGGCATTTGCGGAAACTGTAATTTTCTATGTTAATTGTGCCATGTTTGGAATCCCAATTGTGAGACAGCACTTTTTTCTTGGAACTATTTATTAGTACTTAATGTGCAAGCAATATCAAGCAATATCAATCGAGAGAGAAATGTTTTCCGCGGAGTTTTTTAGTTGATTTGCCATCCGGTAATCAAACACAGCTATGGAAAATGAATGAAAATTACACAATTAGACTTTAGAGATTATACCCCAACTTGAATGCCCATGTACAGGGGATTTCCCAGCTAGCCATGATTTCTAAAGGCTGGTATGGTGCCAACTTCAGGAGAGCAATTTTTCTAAAAGCCCTTCTTGCGGCCAGGTTTTTTCATGCTGCCGGATAGCCTCCAAGTTGCAGAGTTCGTGTGAACTTCTGGTAGGTCGATAAGTGCCCACCAGACATGGGGATTTCCAGCAAGTTTTTTTTAACCAGCTTGGACGGCCAATGGGTGACCGTTGGATGCATGGAGGGATAGCCATAATTCTGGATGAATTATAGTGACCTCACATCGTGACCTGATTGGATATGGAATGATTAGTAAGTGGAATTATCCCAAGATGGTCTTATTTCAGGTCGGTGAATTATTATAAATTACCAAGAATTGCATTTGATCATTGTTAATTGACTTTGGGATGGACATACGCAGTTAGCAACCCCCAAAAAGATAGAAAAGTCAAAGCCTACTAAAATAGTGGTAAACTCCCTTTCTATCCTTTCTGGTATTTCTCTCTCTCTCTGTATATATACTATATATATATATATCGCATATGATTATCAACTATGTATATGCTTAGATATATACATATGTATATATACATATACATATATATATACATATATATATATATATATGTATATCATAATGTGTCATACATATGTATCATATACGTCTAACATATACGCATGGACCGAGGCATGGACTTTCGCGACGTGGGGGTCTTGACCTTGCCATTGACCAGCCAAGCATGTCAGGCTACCGCGGTGTCCCTGGAAGGGACTGGATTTTTGGCCGTGGACGGTGAGTGATCCCCCTGGGAAATTGAGGACAGATAGGAACTAATATATGCATTAATAATCGTGAATAAATATATATATATATTAATAATTATTAATAGGCGAACTTTAGCAATAGGTTCTTTTTGTTGCAATGAGTAGAACAGAGGCCACCCTTGATTGCTCGCCGTTGGATGCTTCCCATCTCTGCTTCTTCGTGGATTTGAGCAGTTTCACATTGAAAAGAACAAGGGCGCAAACTCACCCGATGTTCCCACCATGCAGAAGATGTCATGACAGATGCCCAAGAATTTTGTACCAGCTCAACAGAATCAGATAATTTGAGTAAAAGCAAACGGCCACAAGTTAAAGGTCATAGAATCATCAGGTTACTTCCAGAATCGTCAGGCAGTGATGGATGCCACCAGCGACGACGAAGCGAAATCAGTGCTATACTTGTCCCTTGGTACGGCCTGGAAGGTGAGAAAAGGAGAGGTCGATACATATTCGTACCTTAGTTGCATTTCCATATTACATTTCTATATTATATATATAGATGTTTTTATTTATCGATATATATATATATATATTTGGATGTATAATTATATGTATTTATATACATATATATATAAGTATATAGGTTTATATTATATACATATATATATAGGAACTCCGAAATAAATTGAGAAGGTTCGGAAAAAACGGATGATCCTTGGGGCTCATCCCCAAATTGTCTTGGAGAAGGACCATTGTCAAATTTATTTTAGTGAAGAATCTATATATACTGTAGCTATGGTTATTAAATACTAATCTTCATAAATCTAAATTCTATAATTCAGTTTCTTTGATTATTCAATTGAAGCAAACATGGCAATTGGCATACTGAACCACATGGAGCTTTGAGGAGAATCACGAGTCGATGATTCTTACGTAACTGCTTGTTTGGTGATGGGATCTTCCTATACATTATCCGGATGATGATAATTATAGTGGTGGTCGTATGTGAGTTAATCGATGACTGATGGATATTGGTGGCTTGACTCAATTATTTCATAAATTACTGAACTTATTCTTTGTTGTATATAGTTTTTTGATAGCTAAATCCTTCGTGCAACTCTTAACTAATAATTTAATTGGTTAAATTAAGGTAGACGATTTCCAACCAATGATTTCTTGGTGGTTTGGTAACCATTGGTTGAAATTGAGTATGAGTTCATTATAATTCGATTGTTGGCTTTAATAGCTACTCCATGTTTTGATGCTGAAGTTAATCCCCTTAATTCCACTATTGTAACTCATGATCAACTATTGTAATTGTTAATCTAACTAAATTGGTTGATTTGACTCAAGTCTTAGAACATTGGTGATCATTCGAAGTTGATACTAGATACATATAAAAACTTTTTGTATTAACCTGAGCTGTGTTCAAAACCCTCTGTCGTCCCGTTATGCTGATTGGCTGTATAAGAATGGGATTATCAGAATAGATTTTGATAATCCCCCGTGCAACTATATATTGGATGGTATAACCCTGTATAAACATCAGCCAACAGGGGTTTTGAACACTGATCATTTGTAAAATAAATTTATTAACAGTTAAGTTGATACTTAGTTGCGTTAATCCCAAGTTGATACTTAACACCATTCATAGTTGATCATGTTGAATGGGGTTGATGTAATTAAATACTCGAGCGTGATATCAAATAGTTAATATATTCAAATTAGTGGGATGAGTTAACTTAATGAAATTTAATTAATTAACTTTGGGATAATCTTAATTATTTAAGCTTTATTAAGTTAAATTATTGCATGTTGAATTATCCCATATTTTTCAGTTTAATCCATGAAAACTCGGCCGGAAAGGACGGCCTGGGATCATGGAAAAATCCCATGAATTGAGTCCGTAAACGGGTAGATGTTCCCGACAAATTAAATTAAGTGAGTTGCCTTTGGTTATTTAACATAGCCATGGAAAATGGCCCATTTATAGATGGTTTGCCTATTAAAAATGGTGATTTTCCATGGCTATGTTAAATAACCAGAGGGTACCCTCTGGTAAACGTTTACATAACTATGGAAAGATCCACCATTTTATAGCTGGGTAAATCGTTTCTTTACCAGAGGGTAATAATGGGATTCATGAAAACATTCCGCTATTAAATAACTCCATGAAACTCAAGTTACTCATAATCGCATGAATAAGGGACATAATTGCCGATAATTAGTTTTATCCTTTTATGGGATCATTCATCCAAACGATTTAACTTAAGAGATATTAATATATTCATCTTAAGGGGGTCATGTAAAGTAACTAATCGCATCAGTTAACTAAATAACTGTAAGTTTCATGTTAACAATGTTTGGGATCATGATTGTTAGTTAAGTATATGACTATGATTGACTATAATTCACTAATGGGATTAACAAAGAAGTGTTCAATTGTTAGTTATATAATAGATGTTAATAGCTAACTTCACTCAATGTGGGTAAAACAATAATAAACCATCACCCAAATCACCATTTTTATAGGTGCTATGGTTACCATTCCCAGTCATGGGTGGTTTATGGCATTGTTTTACTCCCATTAATGATCATGACATAATTAACCCAGTTGGTAACTTTTGGGATTCCTATGAAACTTTATGGATTATAGTGTGATATACCATCTGCCAACCGGCAGGATTTCTTCTATCCACAGTAGTATTAGTCATATTGATGGTTATAAATCCACCTATCACCATTTTTATAGGCGGTATCAACCATTCCCAATCATTGGTGATTTATGGCATTGTTTTACCCACATTAAGCTAGTTATAACCCCACTTTCGAACAACTTATTACCCTGGAAAACTAACACAACTATATGGAAATTCACCCTGTTTTAAAGGTAAATCAACTATAAATTGCTAACTTAACTTAATCCCCTTTAGATCCTAGGCTTCGTTCCTCTGAGCCCTGCCCGGGCTGCGGCTTGCGGGTGCAACGCTCCGCGGAGTGTGCGGGATGCCCTAGCGTCACGTGTCCCATGTGCAGGTGCCAGCAGAGCTTGGGTTTAGGGTTGTTGAACCATGAAAGATGTTGGAATTCACCATGAAAAATGGTGGTTTGACATGGTTTGACGGTTTAACCATGAACAATTGGTGGTTTAACCATGAAACATGCTGGATATGACCTTCAAAGCTGGTAGAAAATGGTGGTTGGACCAACCATGTTTTGCGAAACATGTGGTGAACATGATGGGTTTCAAAGCCTTTTCTAATAGATAGAATCTATACCTTGGATACCTGGAAATCATGGAGGAAACATCACTGGTTGGTGGTGCCTGGAACCATGGAATATCATGGAATTTTACGACTTCCCATAGATTGGGAATAATAAGCCTAACTGACTTTCATATGTTTCAGAGGGTAGGTATACCACCAACCAGATCATCATTGAACTAATATCCTGGAAACACTTTTCCACATAAACTAATCTGAGCCACTGAAAATAGCCCTACTGATTGGCTATTGGGCAAAACTAAGCACAACTGACCATGAGACTAGAATGAAAAATAACCGGGATATCCTCTGATAATTCAACGTAGCTATGGAAAATGATTCAGTTAAAATTTTATATGCACGATTTGAAGATTATATATGTACAGTAGCTATTTGAACCTGATGATTCGTGGGACATATTCACCACTGTTTTTAAGGGCATGCTGTAGGGACTGATAGAGCAAAGGGTTGATGAGTTCATATGAGTTCGATTGGTCGTTTGGTACGACTGAGTGTTCACTGGCCCCGACCTCTTTTTGTAGATGATCATTATTGGGGACACGAAATCTTGCGGAAAGCCTGATAACATATTATTATATATACATGCGAATGTGCTATACAGTATAAATATGTATATACGTATATATATATACTTTTTATATATTATATATTTATATACACTACATATTCCAACAGTATCGAATGCTTTTGTGGTTCATCAGTAGCCTTCCATCACGATCATCTCAAAAACCAGTCCACTGGCCAGTCCGATTGGGACCAACTTGGGGGTTGCAATGATGAGCCCAAGCTTGGAAGTATGTGAAATCATGTGTATCTAAAGGTTATGATACTGTGGATGGAAGAAATCCTGCACCCGTTGAAAGGTGGTAAACATCCCATTATTTATGGGTTTCAACCATCCTTTTGGTGGTGCAGGAATTCTTCCATTCACTGTATGTGTGTGTGTGTTTGTGTGTTTATTTTTGTAGACATAGATAGGATGGGATGGAGAAGCAAAAATGAATCGTGTTTTGGCCATTGAATAAACTTGCGTAAACCTTGCAAGCTGCAGGGCAATGTCCTGAAACCACTCAGCAAAACCCACATTTCTTCAGAAGCTCAAGAATCAAGAACTTTTAGCGTGGCAGATATGCAAATGGATGTTTCTGAAAATTGCGGTACCCTTTTCGAGCCTTTTTCACTTAATTGGTTTCCCCTTATCAGTATCATTCCCTTGAAACACCACTGGTTTCCATGAAAAATGCCCAAATACCCTCTGGTTATGTCAAAATAGCTATTGAAAATCGCCATAGAAATAGTGAGTTTTCCCATAAAACATGGTGGATTTTTCCATCGTTTTTTGTAGGTTTACCAGGCCCAATAACTTGGATGAAACTGGACAGGACTCCATTCAAATGCAACTTCGTGGTGGGCGACCGTCCTGAACCATGTTCCTTGGGTGGGTCACTGGCTGGGTCCTTTTGTGTATCGTGGTGGAATGGGGGAATTTACCCACAAAAAGGGTAGCATACTGTAACTGGTTGGTGGCTTGGAACCGTTTTATTTTCCATGATATATGGGAATGTCATCATCCCAACTGACGAACTCCATGATTTTTCAGAGGGGTAGGTATACCACCAGATGATATCATATGATATCCAGTTGTCGGATATCTCCAAGAAACGGATCACAACTACATAGAAGGAGGGGTGGTTTGATGTTTGCTTCGTTTTTTCCGGCCACTTTGATGCGAATCACCAGGCTACCCGCTGACATCCACTGCCAAGTTGCTTGGCAAGTTGGCGAGTGCATGTGCACGTGCACATCCGTTGCATAGGTGTCATGATATCAATGCGTGATATTTGCCGCAATTTGTTGGCGTTGTTTGTTTCATACCAGGCTGCCAGAAAAAAATGCCTTCTTATCCCCATCAAGTCCCAGTATTAGATATCAAACCTCATAATGCACACACTTCAAATCAAAAGCTTCCACATGGGAGAAACATAAACATGTGTTCAAAGATGGTGCACTTTCACAGGTCGGCAATCAGACATAGTTCCCTGGTCAAAGTACATGGAAGTCTTTGTGGTAAATGGGCCAATCATCGAACTTGATGTGGGAATTGTCCAGCAAGTCATGCTTGATGACCAGAAGGCACCCAACTGTAGGGCATCCTCGAAATCTTTGGGTATGCCCCAGGGGAGGCTTCTTGAAGTATGCTGAGGACCAACCTTTACCGCCTATTGGGAGGAACCATGGAGGCTACGCTGGAAGCTGATTCCTCCACAAATTGGGCCTGGAAAGATTGTTGCAAACGTTGTTCAGCTATTGTTCAGCTATGGTCCGAACGAATATTTTCCCTATTCTCAGAAGTTCTGAGGTGTTTTGCCAAAAATCATCAAAGATCCGGGCTGCTACTTTGGTAATTTAACATAGCTATTGATTTTTTTTTAAATAGGTAAAACATCTATAAAGGATTCTACATGCACTAAATGGCCCCTTTTCCATCGCAAACTGTTACAGAACATAAGAACCAGAGATTAACCGCTTGCACCAGTTTTGGTTGGCATCACCCACCAGCTGAGAGAAGCGTTTTTCAGGCCGCGGACGAGCTGGAACGGGAGCGACGAGAGTTGGCAGCCTACCTGACACATGAGATGCTTGGAGAAACAAAACGAAGAGTTGCTGGATAAACTGTTGGTTTATGGTTGGTGTTTAGTTGATGATGGTTGTACTTTCGGTTTACAATGTGCTGCAGTTTGCAACTTGGAAAAATCACCAATTTGAATTTGATTAGTAGGTGAATCATCGAAATCAGTTCTGGGCCATGTACCCCAGAGAATCCCGCACAATCCCAGAAAATCCCACCAAACAAATCACAATAAAAGCACATAAACGTAAAATTCCTGGGATTGCTATGATTATATGTATATATATATAATCACCATAAACAATCATAACCGGTTTATGAATCACAACTTGAGATGGGATTATATAATCATCCCTTTATTCTGTGTTTATTATTATTGATTTATTGGTTTAATACAACTTGATGGTTTCTAAAACCGGTTTATTAATCACAACTTGACATGCTGGTAATTCTGAAACCATGGTCATGCATGATTTATTACAGTAATATAAATCGCCCTTTACCAGTAGTACCGCACAAGGCGGTGGCGGAAGTTTCAAAAATAGGAAACCTATAGGAGAGCTTGGTTGTTGTGAATGAGGGATGGCAGAGCGAAGCCACTGATGGACCGAAAGGTGCTTGAGGTCTCCTCTCTTTCTCTCTCTTTCTCTGACTATGTATCTATGTATCTATGCATCTATGTATCTATCGATCTACCTCTCTCTCTTGCATCTAATTACCTATCTATCTATCTATCTACCTATCTATCTATCTACCTATCTATCTATCTATCTGTCTATCTATCTCTCTATGTATCTATCTATCTCTCCATGTATCGATCTATGTATCTATCGATGTATCTATCTATCTATCTATCTGTCTGTCTGTCTGTCTATCTATCTGTCTGTGCGTCTGTCTATCTGTCTAGACATCTATCTATCTATCTCATCTACCCAGCTGGCCTCTCTCTCTCTCTCTTTCATCTAATTACCTATCTATCTATCTATCTACCTACCTGTCTATCTATCTCTCCCTTTCATCTGTCTATCTGTCTAGCTGTCTACCTGTCTATCTGTGTTGCAGTGTCATTCAGTGTAATGTAGCGTGGTGTAGTGTAATTTAGTGTAGTGGAGCGTACTGGAGTGTAATGTAGTGTAATGTAGTGTACTGGAGTGTAGTGTAGTGTAATGTCCTGTAGTGTAGTGTCTTGAAGCGAAGCGACATCTGAACCTCCAAAAGTGGTCCGAACCCCTAGTGCTTTGTACATTTTGACGCCACAACGGCGTGCACTTTTTCGCCATCTCAACTTCCAAAAGTGGTCCGACGCTGGTGTGTTTTCTGCATTTTGACTTCGAAATGTGCTTCGCGCCACAACGGCGTGCAATTTTTCATCACTCATCTGGCCAGCTGGCTCCGCACCCGCCGCTTTAGCGAGCCTACTTTTCGACCCTCCGGAATCATTGGAAAAACACAGTGTTTCGCGACTTTCCTACCTTTTCGCGCGTCTTCATCTTCTTTCTTCTTACTCTTTCTCTTCTACTCTTCTTTCTTCTAATCTTCTTTCTTCTAATCTTCCTCTTCTCTCTGCCTCTTCCCTGCTCTGCTTTTCATCTGTCCATATTGTCGGAAGTTTGACTTCTAAACTTCCTTCGATTAACCATATATTAGTTAGATATTGATTATGAATCACCATGGCCAATGGTCATTATGGTTTTTGGTGGCTGGTTCTGGCTGGCTGGTTCTGGCTGGTGGCCCAGGATTTGTGGCCTTTGTGACGTTTTCACAGCTTTGGCCTGCGGACGAGATAGCAGCTGGGCGACTGACCCCTTCGGAGCAGGGGCAGGGGCAAATGCCATGGAAATCCCCGCGCTGAATGCAGGGTTGAATGGGAAAATCAGTTATAAAGTTGTGTTTGAATGGGAAAATTGTCTGTAAATGGAGGTTTTAATGGGAAAATCAACTATAAAATTGTGTTTTAATCGGAAAATCATCTATAACTTTGGGTTTTTTTATTGAGAATTCATCTTTAAATTTGTTGTTTAATGAAAATTTTCTATAAATTGATATGTTAATTAATGGGAAAGCATCTGCATTTTTGTTTTTAGTGGGAAATCATGAGAAATCATCTATAAATGGGGAACTACTTTCCATTGCTATATTAACTGGTTGGTGGTTTCAAACATTTTTTATTTTCCATAATATATGGAATAATCCTTCCCAACTGACTAATATTTTTCAAAGGGATTGAAACCACCAACCAGTTAAGTTACCAGAGGGTAAATCATCATTGGACTGGGTCACAATGATTACAGGAAGGCATAGTTAATTTAATATACATACACCTACCATCCAATTTGTGCTTGCTTCCGGTGCTAGCTTCCTCTTGAATATCATGCCTGTGTTCACATGGCTTTGCGTTACAACAGGGTACCCCAGCATCCTATGGTTGTTCATTTGTTATTTGCCATGTTGCAAGTACTGTATAGTGCATTTCGGACCACAGCCATTTCCAAGATTCAAAGGCTTAAATTCCAATTTTTGCGTGCGAAAGCTGATGGTTTCACCATTTTGATGGTTAAACCACCTTTTTTCCGTCGAAAACTGCCATAACGCCTTATACAATGGGACCATACTATCACGATTGCCATTACTGGTACTATTGGCATTATTATCGCTATTGCGATTATTATATTGGTTTCACAATTACTATCACTATTCCAACTAATTACTGTACTACCACTATCAGCATCACTATCACTGTTGAATCAGTATCACTATCATTATAATTTCATTATCACTATAGCATCACTATTTGTATTACTAAAGTAATTCTATATTACTACTGTACTATAACAATATTACTATTTCAATATGTCATTTCCAACTATCAACTACTTGTCTGATGTATATTTCACGACAATTTCACTCTTACTATCACTATTCCAGCTATTTTACTATCAGTAGTTCCCCATTTGGTTTGCATTAATGAACACTAATATCGCAATAGTGATAGTAATTCGACAATAATCGAAATAGTAATTGCACTACTAATCACTTAACTATTATTGACATTATTACTATTGTACAGTATATTAGTGACATCATTGCCATAAATGTGGGTGATATCGAACGATGTAATTCAAGATGAATACTAGTCAGTATATAGTATATTTTTCTATATTTAGGATCATTTTTGAATATTAGATACTAATCGTTACTCATTATGTTATGTAACGACCTCCGGTCGCTAGTAAAACCTACGGATTAATGATGACCAATATAGTTACTGCTAGTTACTATCTAGTATTGATAGTTGCTAATATGTGTTTTCAGTATTGTAACTGTTATAAACTATATTGATGATACAACTAGATTATTTAGTATTCATATTTGTACTATATCAGTTAATATTGAGGACATAGAAGAATATCAGATTACTAGTAATATTAATATTGAAATAGAAATTTGATATAAGTAATTAAATAATATTAGATAATAATATGCTAGTATATTGGTAAATATCATTAATAGTAATGATATTAGTACCTACTAATCTACTATAAGTAACCTTGATGATTCAAGCCTCGCTCCGCAACGGAGGCTTGGGCTTTAGTCAGCTGGACCTGCGAAAGGCCTACGCAGCACAGGGCCTGCCATGCCCCACGGGAGAGCAATGGGACCTACTGTCCGGGCGCCTGTTGGTTACGCACCGGAAACCATCGATTTTCCCATGAAGATCATGTTCGGCTTTTCGGTTAAAAGTTTCCCGAAAAAAAACAATCCAATGAAAGGAGATATTTGGATACCTAATGGTTGGAGAATATAGGATTATCTTTATCTAGATATTTTAGTATCTAATTGGATTACCCCTAGTTAGTAATTATTAATTATCTGATTGGGAAATAATTGAATATTTGGATATCTACCCTCCAGTAAATTAACATAGACTCTGCCAGACAAGATTTGGAAGATTAGTTTCCACTAAAAGTTGGTGATTTTCAGGGTCAACAATTTAATTTACCAGAGGGTAATGCTTCGAGAATTTTTTCACGTAATGAATCAATCAATTTATCAAAGTAATGTGGGATTCACCCAATAATTTTCATAAACCATCCTCACAATCATCACAATCATCGGTGGGATTCCAACATCCCCATTTTTTTTTGTAGTTTTTTTGGCATTGGGTGAATCCCACATTGCTAGCTACACTAAATTAGATCTAATTAATTAGTAATGAAATAACAATGATAATGTATGTTGTATGTAATGTATTATCAAACGGATAATATAGCATATTGGGTAACAATGATGATATTGTCAGATAATACAACGGATAAGAACAGTAAATAAATAATGATAACGTACTAGTAGTGATTGTAATAATGCTCGCAGTTTTTGCTGTAAATTATGTCCTGAGGAGACTAGTGTTGTCCTTAGCCCATGTTTTCCTTGCATCGTCGAATCATCCTACAAATACTTGTCGGCATCTTTTTGGGGGTAGTTATGACTGGAAAAGAATCTCAAGAATCGGGCGATAACAATAATTTTGACATTAGAATTGCAGTGGATCAATAATAACAGCAACGATCATCATTAGTGACAATAATGATAGTACCAATAGGATATAAATGCATATTATGATAGGCCTTCTGAGCTGAATATGGGTATCATATCCACCCAATTCATTCCACAAACCATTGCTAGGTGTTGGTCTCGGATCCCTAAAATCAAAGAATTCATACACCGTAACATCACCAGCTGGAAGGGAAGAATCACAAGATTTACGTTTTGGATGTCAAGTCCTTGGGAAAGTTGAATTTTGAAATGTTTATCTGGAAAATCTTTTGCGCTTTAGTACAATGTCATTTTTTGTACTTTGCTAACCAGCTGAAGAAATATCTTTGGGCAGATTTTCCCGAATCGAAGGAATCGAAGAAAGAATGTTGGGGATGGTGTTGATTGGAGAATTCGCGGCTTTAAGAAGACTATCACTCAAACTGAAACAAAGTGGTGCGCCCCCCCCCGGGTTA